AACAAAGAAGGGGATTTTAGGGGCTGGGCGCTGTGGCTCACGCCTGTAATCCTAGCTCTTGGGAGGCCGAGGGCGGCGGATTGCTCAAGGTCAGGAGTTCAAAACCAGCCTGAGCAAGAGCGAGACCCTGTCTCTACTATAAAATAGAAATTAATTGGCCAACTGATATTATATATAAAAAATTAGCCGGGCATGGTGGCGCATGCCTGTAGTCCCAGCTACTCGGGAGGCTGAGGCAGGAGGATTGCTTGAGCCCAGGAGTTTGAGGTTGCTGTGAGGTAGGCTGACGCCACGGCACTCACTCTAGCCTGGACAACAAAGTGAGACTCTGTCTCAAAAAAAAAAAAAAAAAAAAAAAAGGACTTTAGGCGGGCGCGGTGGCTCACGCCTGTAATCCTAGCACTTTGGGAGGCCGAGGCGGGCGGATTGCTCAAGGTCAGGAGTTCAAAACCAGCCTGAGCGAGACCCCGTCTCTACCAAAAATAGAAATAAATTAATTGACCAACTAAAAATATATATACAAAAAATTAGCCGGGCATGGTGGCGCATGCCTGTAGTCCCAGCTACTCGGGAGGCTGAGGCAGAAGGATTGCTTGAGCCCAGGAGTTTGAGGTTGCTGTGAGCCAGGCTGACGCCACGGCACTCACTCTAGCCTGGGCAACAAAGTGAGACTCTGTCTCAAAAAAAATAAATAAATAAATAAAATAATAAAAAAAAAAAAAACAAGAAGGACTTTAGAACATGATTTTTTTTTTTTTTAGATAGAGTCATTTGTTGCCAGGCTAGAGTGAGTGCCATGGCGTCAGCCTAGCTCACAGCAGCCTCAGCCTCCCAAGTAGCTGGGACTATAGGCATGAGCCGCCACACTCGGCTAATTTTTTGTTTCTATTTTTAGTTGATTGGCTAATTTTTTTTTTTTCTATTTTTTATAGAGATGGGATCTCGCTCTTGCTCAGGCTAGTCTTGAACTCCTGAGTTCAAACGATCCTCCACCTTGGCTAAGATTACAGGCGTGAGCCACATCATTTTATTTTATTTTTTAAGAGACAAGGTCTTTCTTGCCCTTTCTCCTAGGCTAGTGGTATGATCATAGCTCACTATAATCTTGAACTTTTGAGCAGACCACAGGTGCATGCCACTCTGCCTGGTCTTTTTTTTTTTTAGGAGACCATATCTCAATATGTTGCCCAGATTGGACTCCTGCCTGGCTCAGTAATCCTCTCACCTCAGCCTTCCAAGTAGCTGGGACTATGGGTGTGCCACTGAGCTCAGCTTTGAATGTACTATTTTTGACAAGAACCAAAACCATTCCTGTTTGCCAAAAGGATGCACAATAGTTATTCTTTCATCTTTTAGGATGTTTATGTACCAAAACTTATTTGATGTGGTTTGTAAGTGGACAGGTGCCAAAGGTAGGTGTGTGTACAAAAGTGATTATAGGGGAAAATGATGTAGAAATGAAAAAAATCATTGTATGATCATTCTAATGGGTATTTATTTTTTATTTTTTTGAGACAGTCTCTCTTTTGTTGCCCAGGCTAGAGTGAGTGCCATGGCGTCAGCCTAGCTCACAGCAACTTCAAACTCCTGGCCTCAAGCAATCCTTCTGCCTCAACCTCCCGAGTAGCTGGGACTACAGGCATGCGCCACCAGGCCCGGCTAGTTTTTCTATATATATTAGTTGGCCAATTAATTTCTTTCTATTTATAGTAGAGATGGGGTCTCACTGTTGCTCAGGCTGGTTTCAAACTCTTGACCTCCAGCAATCCACCTGCCTGGGCCTCCCAGAGTGCTAGGATTACAGGTGTGAGCCACCACTCCCGGCCTAAGCCACCATGCCCGGCCTATTTTTTTTTTTATATATATTTGTAGAGTCTCCTCCAGGCTGGTTTTGAACTCCTGGGCTCAAGCAATACTTCTGCCTGAGCCCCGCAGAGTGCTGGGATTACAGGTGTGAGCCACTGTGCCTGGCCCAAAAGAAATGTTATTTTAATTGCAAAAAGGTAGAGCATGATATCAGAATAAAGCTAGTACTTTAATTCTTTTTTTTTTTATTTCGGCATATTATGGGGGTACAGATTTTAAGGTTTCAATAAATGCCCGTTTCCCCCCCTCCCCCCTTTAATTCTTAATCTATTAAAGACTCACCACAATGCTGCTTTCTTTTTTCTATACTTGTCCATAGACCAGCATTTGGGAATCATTAATGCAGTCTGGTCATCCCCTCCTTTTGCAGATAAGAAAACAGGACCAAAGTTACAAAGCTTCATGTCAGAATTTGGACTAGGATCCAGTTCCTTTTTTTTTTTGAGACAAAGTCTCACTTTGTTGCCCAGGCTAGAGTGAGTGCCATGGCGTCAGCCTAGTTCACAGCAACCTCAAACTCCTGGCCTCAAGCAATCCTGCCTCAGCCTCCCAAGTAGCTGGGACTACAGGCATGCACCACCATGCCCAGCTAATTGTTTCTATATATATATATATTAGTTTGCCAACTGATTTCTTTCTGTTTTTTTTTTTCCTTTGAGACAGAGTCTCGCTTTGTTGCGCAGGCTAGAGTGAGTGCCGTGGCGTCAGCCTAGCTCACAGCAACCTCAAACGCCTGGGCTCAAGCAATCCTCCTGCCTCAGCCTCCTGAGTAGCTGGGACTACAGGCATGCGCCACCATGCCCGGCTAATTTTTTCTATATACATTAGTTGGCCAATTAATTTCTTCTATTGTTTTTTTTTCTATATAGAAGATTTGGGCGTCTCACTCTTGCTCAGGCTGGTTTCAAACTCCTGACCTCGAGCAATCTGCCCGCCTCGGCCTCCCAGACTGCTAGGATTACAGGCGTGAGCCACTGCGCCCGCCCTCTTTCTGTTTTTAGTAGAGACGAGGTCTTGCTCTTGCTCTTGCTCAGGCTGGTTTCGAACTCCTGACCTTGAGCAATTGGCCCACCTGGGCCTCCCAGAGCTAGGATTACAGGTGTGAGCCACCACACCCCGCCTAGGATCCAGTTCTTGACAGGTTATTTTAGTGCTGTGGTCTCCAAGCCTGGGCCATGGCCTTGTACTAGTCTCCCTAATCCGAGTCAGTGGAAAAATTGTCTTCCGTGAAACTTAGGAATTGGACCACACAGCAGGTAGTGAGCGGTGCCGCAAAGCGAAGCCTCATCTGTATTTACAGCTGCACCAGCTGCCTCCACATTACTCACATCACTGTCTGAGCTCCACACACACACACACACACACACACACACACACCCCAGAAAAATTGTCTTCCATGAAACTGGTCCCTGGTGCCAAAAAGGTTGGGAATTGCTGTTCTAGTGTGTTTTCTGTAGTCCTATACTGTGCTCTTCAGATCTGAAATTGGTTTACCATTTATAAAATATTGACTTGGTCTTTGGTTACAGCGATTAATCTCAGTTGATTTAAGCCTCTAGGTTTCAAGCCAATAGAACTCAAGACCAAACCGTGGTGCAGGTAGGTCATAGATGTACATAGAAGTAGCAGCCAAGAAAGTCTTACTCCATCTACTTATTAAACCCAGTTCCTCATCCCAAACTAGTTTGAGGTTTAGTGTTCCTGGCCAGTTGATCAGTGGAAATAGCATGAGTGAATCTATATTTCCAGTCCTTGGATATGTCTGAAAGTTTTTGAATTAAGCTGAACATGCTACTTCATACTAGGAAAACATAACCAAGTAAGACATTTAAGACATTTTAAATTATTTCTACTCTGCAGCTGTCAGCAGTATGTTTTCTTTCTTTTTTTTTTTTTTTTGGCTAGAGTGAGTGCCGTGGCGTCAGCCTAGCTCACAGCAACCTCAAACTCCCGGGTCCTGGGCTCAAGCAATCCTGATGCCTCAGCCTCCCGAGTAGCTGGGACTACAGGCATGCGCCACCATGCCCGGCTAAATTTTTTCTATATATATAGTTGGCCAATTAATTTGTTTCTATTTATAGTAGAGACAGGGTCTCGCTCTTGCTCAGGCTGGTTTCGAACTCCTGACCTTGAGCAATCCACCCGCCTCGGCCTCCCAGAGAGCTGGGATTACAGGCGTGAGCCACCACGCCCGGCCTGCAGTATGTTTTTGACTCCATTTAACTGAGTTCAACATACTATAACACACAGATTTGTGAGACTTAATCCTTTGATCTGAATAGGCTACAGAGGGAACGTATTTGTGATTTGAGATTTACAAAAAGATAATATTAAAAGTGGCCAGCTTGCAAATTAAACAATTCTGCTTCTGTGTCAGGATCCCACTTAGTTTTGTGAGATATGAGAAACACCTGAAATGATTTCAAGACTAAGGATTATAGTGGCAGGCAGGTTGAGGACTGAAAGGTGAGGCATCTTGCGCAGACTGCTTTCTTTTCAGGCCTCCTGTCCTCCTAGAGGATGAAGAAAAGACGGTTGAGTGGACTCAGAAATTGAGCAGATACTTTTTTTTCCGTATAAAAAGTGCCTTATTTCAGCTGAGGGAGTGGTTTGCTAAAATCTCCTACTATTTCTGAAACTTTTATCTGGTCTGAAAATCTGGTCTCAATCTGGGTTCAAGTGATCCTCCTGCCTCAACCTCCTAAGTAAACAGGATTACAGGTGCAAGCTGCTGCACCCATTTACTTGAAATAAGTTTTAAAAGTGGACCACAATTATAGTACTAGGTTTTGAGAGGAGTTAAGAAGCATTTGAATATTTTTATAAATTATTTTGAATAATGTACATGTGGTTATGTAATTAATATAAGAAATGTCAGCATTTGAGGAGAAAACTAGAGAATAAAGCAAAAAAAACTATTACATTTTTGTCTTTCAGTTTTAACTTGTACATTGTGAGGTGTGTGTACATGCACATGTGCACATGTACTTGAACTACCCCGGATGACCTCTGGATGAAGTAGATAATCAGTTCTGGGAGTCTAACTTATACTAAACTTGGGCGATCGGTTCTAGTTAGACACATCATATGAGAGTGAGAATTGATTTGCATGTTAAGTCTTTTGGTTTCTGCAGGTTTTGTAGTGCATCCCTGAGCATGAGTGCAGAATGAAGCGACGTTTGGATGACCAGGAGTCACCGGTGTATGCGGCTCAGCAGCGTCGGATTCCTGGCAGCACAGAGGCTTTTCCTCACCAGCACCGGGTGCTTGCCCCTGCCCCTCCTGTGTATGAAGCAGTGTCTGAAACCATGCAGTCAGCCACGGGAATTCAGTACTCTGTAACGCCCAGCTACCAGGTAAACTGGAGCCAACCAAGGGACTAGGGTTGAGAGTAGAGGGATGATAATTTTATCCAATTAAAAAATGCTTTATTAAACAGTGACTTAGATACAAAAAAATTATGGAGTATCTAACATAAAAAATAACAAAAACATTGCACACTTGTATATAGTTTAGCATAAAAAGAATGTCATGACTTTTGAAGTTCATTGTGTATCTTGCCCTGATCCCTTACTTTTTTCTCCCTCTCTTCAGAGGTGAGCCACTAGTGTGAACTTTGTGTTTATTATTCCCTTGACTTTCTTTCCTTTTTTTAAATCTCTAAATAATACAATTATTTAGTTTGGGTATTTTTGAATTTTATGCCCCCCCCCCCAACAGGGTCTTGCTCTGTTGCCCAGGCTACAGTGCAATGGCCAGATTGTAACTCACTACAACCATGAACTCCTAGGCTCAAGTGATCCTCCTGCCTCAGCCTCCCAGAGTAGCTGGCTAGTTTTTCTTTTTCTTTTTTTGTAGAGAACAGGGTCTTGCTGTATTGCCCAAGCTGGTCTCAACCTCCTGGCCTGAAGTAATCCTCCTGCCTCCATCTTCCAAAGGGCTGGGATTATAGGTGTGAGCTACTGTGCCCAGCCTATTTTTCAACTTTTATAAGTGGAAACATACATATTCCTTCTTTGACCCACTTGTTTTTTCATTCAATATAGTTCCTAAGATTTATTCGTATTTTTATCTGTAGCTATAATTGATCCATTTTCACTATGGTATGAGTTAAATTAATAAACCCTGTGTATTGATTCTACTGTTGGACAATTGGGTTATTTCCAGGTTTTTGCCATTACAAAGGTGCTGCTGTGAACAATCTGATGTGTTACTCCTAGTGCGCTCAAACTGGCAATTCATTGCAAAATAAGAAGCTTGTGCCCGAATTTAATCAACAAACTTCTTTTGTCAAGAGACTCTTTGGGGGGAAAAAGCTGGTGTATTAAACAGCGTCAGCATTAGTGAAGTACAGTTGACCCTTGAACAGCATGGGGATTAGAGGCTGTGGTGCCCACAGAGTCAAAAATCCACATGTAATTTTTGACTCTCCGAAAACTTAACTGCTAATAGCCTGTTCTTGACCAGAAGCCTTACAAATAACGTAGTTTTTTCACACATATTCACTATGTTGTATGTATTAACACACTGTATTCTTACAATAAAGTAAGTTAGAAAAAAGAAAATGTTATTAAGAAAATCATAAAGAACAGAAAATAAATTTACTATGCATTAAATGGAAGTGGATCGTCATAAAGGTCTTTATCCTTGTCAGCTTCACATTGAATAGGCTGAAGAGCAGGAAAAGGAGTTGGCATTGCTGTCTGAAGGGTGGCAGAGTTGGAAGAAAATCTATGTATAAGTGGACTCTTGTGTCTCAAACCTGTGTTGTTCAAGGGTCAATTATACTTGGCTTATATTCTGGTGTAAATTCCTTCTCTTTTTTTGTATACCAGTCAGCAGGTTGAGGACACAAGGGGAAGAATTTCTCAGTATCTAGGAGAGGGATTGCTGGGTCTTAGGGTATATGCATCTTTAGCAGGGCCAAACAATGCTAAATTGCTTTTTAAAAAGTGTACTAATTTAAATTTCCACAAGCATTGTATATTCCTATTGTTCCACATCCTGACCAGTACTCATTGTTCATCTCTTGCCTTTCACTGTGTTTTGTAGAAATGGAAGAAATTTAATTGTGTTTTGTCCTTTTTTATTATGAAAGTAATATATCATCATGGACTTTTCTATAAAAAGGAAATGACTTTTTCCTCTGACCCTTCAGATTTTCTCCCACTGGTACCCCAAAATTTGTGTACATAAACAAGCATATCTACAAAAACCTACCTACTTATCTAAATCCACTTTTCCTTTTTCTTCTTCTTTTTCTTTTTATGAGATAGTCCCACTCTGTTCCCTGGGCTAGAGTGCCGTGGTGTCATTATGGCTCACTGCAACCTCAGACTCCTATGTCAAGTGATGCTCCTGCTTCAGCCTCACGAGTACCTGGGACTATAGGTGCACACCACCGTGCCCGGCTAATTTTTCTATTTTTTGTAGCAACGGGGTCTTGTTCTTCCTCAGGCTCACATTTCTTTTTATAAAATTTGGATTTTATAATATTTACGGTTCTGCTATGTTCTTTTCACTTAATATATAGTGGACACCTTTCCACTTGAATATATATATGGGTAGATTCAAGTATTTTTTTAAAAAATCACTGCATTGTTTTTAAGAGTTGCATATATAATATTCCCCTCCAGATCAGTCTGAACCATAACTTATTTAACTAATTTGGAGAGGCCTTCTTCAACCTCACTTTTTAGTGACCTGTAAAATTTATGACTGGTACTGGGAATATAAACTGGTGTAATCTTTCTTGAGAGCAATTTGGCAATTTGCGTCAAATTCTTTAGTTACTTTTTGACCTGGAAGTTCCATTTCTAGGAATTTATTACAAGACTCTAAAGAAGAGGGAAACCTGAGTCAGGTAGGAAATGGTGGTTCCAAGGTGTCACTCTTCCTTAGGAGTTCCCCTTGAAGCAATGTAATGCCCTCGTACAGGCTGAGGCAGCAGTCAGAAGAAGACTGCTAGCAGATTGAATCTTTAAGTTAGGACTTGAGAGGAAAAAAAATTGTTTTCCTTTTGATTACTTTTATTAATATTATCTGAACAGGTTTCCTAAACATGGGATAGTTAAGATCTCTTCCTACTGGAAACTGTAATGTGCTTGTATAAACTAGGCATCTCAAATATTTATAAACTCCAGGAAAGTCTTATGAAAGCCTGTGGACTTGTAAAACCTGTAAGAACATACATATTGGAATATAGATGCTCAGAATAATAATCCATCTTATGAGAGCTACATTAGAGCTCTTAAAAATATCTAAATAATTTTTTACTCTTCATATATTTTGTATTATTTCTGTGGATTTATGCATAGTCACTTTATTTCTCCTTCCTCTCCCTCCCCTTTCCCTTCTAGGGTACTTTTTTTATAAACTTGTGAGAATTTGAAGAAAGCTTTATTCATTTTTGTTTGTTTGTTTGTTTGTTTAGAGATAAAGTCTTACTCTGTTGCCCAGACTAGAGTACAGTGGTATGATCATAGGTCACTGCAACCTGGAACTCTGGGGTTCCAGCGATTCTCCCGTAGCAGCCTCCTAAAGCACTGAGATTACAGGCTTAAGCCACTGAGCCCAGCCCTTTTAAATGTTGTGGTGCACAATTTATATTACTTAGAGAAATAGAATTAATGTTTTTTGTTAACTTATTTTGGGGCAGGGGCATTCAGGTATATTGTCATTTGTTGTCTTCCGTAGTTACTAATAGTTCTGTAAAAGGAAATAGAGAAGCTCTGAAATTTTTATATAGCATTTCTTGCAATACAAATGGAAGGAAAGGGACTTGTGCTTTTATTTCACCCTGAAATTTTTTTGAGACAGAGTCTCACTTTGTTGCCCAGGCTAAAGTGAGTGCCGTGGCATCAGCCTAGCTGACAGCAGTTTGAGGAGCCTCACTCCTAGGCTCAAGCAATCCTTCTGCCTCAGCCTCCGGAGTATCTGGGACTACAGGCATGTGCCACCATGCCCAGCTAGTTTTTTCTATATATTTTTAGATGGCCAATTAATTTCTTTCTAATTTTTAGTAGAGACGGGTCTTGCTCTTGCTCAGGCTGGTTTTGAACTCCTGACCTTGAGTGATCCACCTGCCTCAGCCTCCCAGAGTGCTAGGATTACAGGAGTGAGCCACTGTGCCTGGCCCTCACCCTGAAATTTTTAAGAGGGCAAGAGAGAGAAAAAGAGAATAGAAAAGACATGTTTGGGCTCAAACCACCACTGACTTGGAAAAAAATTTTGTTTTACTTTAGGAGTAATACTTGGAGCTGGGTATGGTGGCACACACCTGTAAATCCTAGCACTTTGGGAGGCCAGGCCAAGGTGGCTGGAGTTCAACACCAGCCTGGGAATACTTAATCATTGTAGCAAATAAAGATAAGCAAAATAAATAAAACCAAGTAAAAGTCTCCTAATGCTAATACCGCAAGATTAAATGCTAACATTTTGTCATAAATTCGTTGTCGGGGTTTAAAAGTGTTTTGATTTTATCGTACACTGTATTGTACCATATTTTTAAAAATTATTTAAAAGTTTAAATCTACATGTAGTACATGAATACATTCAACTTATGGGTGATGAATATTTTGTTAAAATATATGTGTGTATCAGTGCTATTCAAAATGTGGTTTATAAATGGCTGGTCTATATATTTTGTTACTAGTGTGTGATGAAGTAATTACAGAATTGAGAGTGTTTAGAAAAACTTTGTACTGATTGGGCATCATAATTTTCTAACTGTAAACTCCAGTAATGGAAATTATGGGTTTATGTATTTTGTTTTCACTTTTTTAGTAATTTACTTTTATTGTATTTTATACAAGTACTGGACCATGATGGATTGGAATTTAAGAAAAAGAAAAACTGAAGAGCTGGGCATGGTGGCTCACACATGTAATCCCAGCTACTTGGGGGAAGCTGAGGTGGGAGGATCACTTGAGGCCAGGAGTTGGAGACTAGCCTAGGCAACATCATGAGACCTTGTCTCTCAAAAAAAAATTAAGACAATAACAGCAACAACAAAAAGCCAGCTGAGTGCAGTGGCACATACCTCTAGTCCTAGGCTACTTAAGAGGCTGAGGAGGGACGATCCCTTGAGGCCAGGAATTCAATACCAGCCTGGTGATATAGCAAAACCCTGACTCAAGGAAAAACCAAAAACCAGATAAATGGGTCCTTCATCACAGATAATTTGTGATGCACAAAGCTATATCATTTTTAATAGCTACAAAGAATTCTGTTGTTACATGGGTGACGTATAATTTATTTTACCAATTCCCTTTTGTGGGAGATTGGGTTTCTAATTATCTTTGTGCATGCAAAGATATACATGCATGCTTTGTGCATTTGTGTTATTTCTCTAGACACATTTGGGAAAGAATGCACAAACCTTGATGTTTCTTGTTTGCATTTTGCCCACCCCAGGTTTCAGCTGTGCCACAGAGCTCCGGCAGTCATGGTCCCACCATAGCAGCGGTTCATAGCAGCCATCATCACCCAACAGCTGTGCAGCCCCATGGAGGCCAGGTGGTCCAGAGTCATGCTCATCCAGCTCCACCAGTTGCACCAGTACAGGGACAGCAGCAGTTTCAAAGGCTGAAGGTGGTGTTTATTTAGTTCCTTTTCTTGGGTCAGAAAGTTTATCTTTAATAGGAAACAACAAGTTTATCTTTAGTAGCCCATTAGTGCCAGTGATAAAACTTCTAACTTGAGAGATGGGTGAATCACAAGAAGTTCTACTTTTTTGTTTTATGAAATCTGGTTATATTTACCATCTTGGTGCTGGTGCTTTACATGGGGAAGAATATACTCAAGAAATATTTGTGGAATGTATGAATACGTGGTACTCTAGTGTTATCAGGATTGGGGGGCTATTTTCATACAAAATGAACCTTAAAGTTCATTTTTGGATGCTTGCTTTTCAACTCTCCATTCTTAGCATTGTATAGGTTTTATTGAGCACTCACATGATTGGCTATAGGCACGTACAATAAATTACTTCAGTAATATATTTTAGAGTTTAGTCTTTTTATTCCTGTTTATGAATAGCTGAATTAGCTGGCATCCTGAAGTCCATCCCTAGTAAAAAATATGCTCCTTTTGGGGGAAACTTCATGACGTTTGGGGAAAACTGTAAGTGTGAATGAAGTTCAGTGTTTTCTCCTGAATTTCTGTAGTAGGTTTTTGGTGCCTTGAAATTCATGAGGTATCATGGCAAAATGAAGCTTATGTGTTCCCACTTAATCTTGTCTCTTTTGTTACTTTTAAAAATGTATGATTGTTGCAACAAGTGTTGTAGGTTTCAATTTTTCTAAATTATATAAAATCTAAGGCTCGGCATGGTGGCTCACGCCTGTAATCCTAGCTTTCTGGGAGGCCGAGGCAGGAGGATCGCTCAAGGTCAGGAGTTCGAAACCAGCCTGAGCAAGAGCGAGACCCCATCTCTACTAAAAATACAAAGAAATTAATTGACCAACTAAAAACATATAGAAAAAAAATTAGGGCATGGTGGAGCATGCCTGTAGTCCCAGCTACTTGGGAGGCTGAGGCAAAAAGATTGTTTGAGCCTAGGAGTTGGAGGTTGCTGTGAGCTAGGCTGACACCACGGCACTCTAGCCCGGGCAACAGAGTGAGACCCTGTCTCAAAAAATAAAATAAAAATAAAATTTAAAATTGAATGCACTGGCCGGGCGCTGTGGCTCACGCCTGTAATCCTAGCTCTTGGGAGGCCGAGGCGGGCGGATTGCTCAAGGTCAGGAGTTCAAAACCAGCCTGAGCAAGAGCGAGACCCCGTCTCTACTATAAATAGAAAGAAATTAATTGGCCAACTATATATATAGAAAAAATTTAGCCGGGCATGGTGGCGCATGCCTGTAGTCCCAGCTACTCGGGAGGCTGAGGCATCAGGATTGCTTGAGCCCAGGACCCGGGAGTTTGAGGTTGCTGTGAGCTAGGCTGACGCCGCGGCACTCACTCTAGCCTGGGCAACAAAGCGAGACTCTGTCTCAAAAAAAAAAAAAAAAATTGAATGCACTAAATATAAATGAAATAACTATAACAAAAGAAGATGTTAGATCATTATTTGGTCATATCAGCCTAATTATATCAAGTTGTTTCCAGATAGGAATGAACAGTGTACCCTTGAAGGATATATCCATGTGTAGCAAATATTTCTACTTTCTGTTTTCCCTGATACTTAGTTTAGTTCTCCCTGACCCCTGCCCTCATTGCTTTGGGTTCTAAGGAACTCGTTTAATATTGGCCTAAGGACATTGAATGCTATATAAATATCATAGAGAATACCAAAACTAGACTATTTATAGGAATTTTGCCAAACTTACTGTCTATCTATTGGCTTAAATAATGCTGACTGACTAAAGTATAGTCTTTAAAGAGAGTGTAAACTATCCAGGCCTGAAACTTCATTCTAGATTGTGTCTTTGTGAAAATTTAAATTAGCAATTTGTTTTTTAAAAAACATTTTTGTTCTCTGCTTATAGAGTGATGGCTGTGTACCAAAATGTTTTACTGCTATAGACTTAGTACTGCACCAGGTTCTTAAAAAACTTTTTTAAAAACTTGGTTGGGTGTGATTTAATTCCGTATTAATCCTGTACTCTGCAGTTAATACCTTAATGTTGCAAAAAAGCTTATAAACTTGCTGTTAAACTAACAAAAACACATTTCTGTAGCCTTTTTCAACCAACCCTGTCAAAACACAACACCTATTTTACTCACTTTTCTCATAGGAGTTTTAGGTATAAGTAGATGGATTGTGCTTTGTCTTACAGAAACTGGCAAGGAAACAGGGAAGGGCTTTGGATTTGGGGTTATAGAGTGAGTCACGGGTAGAGTTAGGATTACTTGCTTTATTCTTTTAGTTATAAGCTCTTGCCTATATTCCTAAATAAAATAACTTGTTGAATTTCCTTCCTAATAAGAAGAGGCAAGATGCTTCTGTGTCTTCGTGTAATTTAAGTCAGTATTCCCACATTACCTGCCATTTTTGGATCGGTCCTAAAATGCTTTATAAGTATTTGAATCAACTTCAATAAATCATTTATATTCTATTATAAGGAAATATGCTGTGAGAATGCTTGCTTACATTATTTCAAGCATCAACATTGTCTATTCTTTTTATATGTCTTTGGCTGATTGGTGACAAGAAGGAATTTGAGTAATTAATTTGAGACATGTTTGGTGTGATTTAGTTTATTTGTTGAATTCCAGCAGTGCTGATATTTGGAACATATTTAGCAAGTTCTCTTTACAGATGCTTGTGTTTGTCTCCCTCAACAAGATCACAGACTTCAGGAGGTGCAGTACCTCAGTAATAAATTTCTGGTAAAGTGAACTGGGAAAATTCATCAGCAGAGTCCAAGAGTGCCTCCCAAGTCCTTTCTTAAATCTGTAGCTTCTAGATAACTGCATTTAAGTTGATTTTTAAAATTATTTTTTATTTAATTAATTTAATTTTTTTTTTGAGACAGAATCTATTGCCCGGGCTAGAGTGAGTGCCGTGGTGTCAGCCTAGCTCACAGCAACCTCAAACTCCTGGGCTCAAGTAATCCTTCTGCCTCAGCCTCCCGAGTAGCTAAGACTACAGGCATGCGCTACTATGCCTGGCTAATTTGTTTTTTTTTTTTTTGAGACAGAGTCTCACTTTGTTGCCCAGGCTAGAGTGAGTGCCATGGCGGCAGCCTAGCTCACAGCAACTCAGACTCCTGGGCTCAGCGATCCTACTGCCTCAGCCTCCCGAGTAGCTGGGACTACAGGCATGCGCCACATGCCCGGCTAATTTCTGTTATGTATTATTGGCCATTAATTTTCTTTCTATTTATAGTAGAGACGGGTCTCGCTCTTGTTCAGGCTGGTTTTGAACTCCTGACCTTGAGCAATCACCCGCCTCGGCTCCCAGAGTGCTCCAGGAACTGTTACAGGCGTGAGCCACCGTGCCGGCCTAATTTTTTCTATATGTTTTAGTTGTCCAGCTAATTTCTTTCTATTTTTTTTTAGTAGAGATGGGGTCTCGCTCTTGTTCAGGCTGGTCTCAAACTCCTGAGCTCAAATGATCCTCCTGCCTTGGCCTCCCAGAGTGCTAGGATGACAGGCGTGAGCCACCGTGCCCAGACTATTTAAATTTTTTAGAGACAGGGTCTCACTCTGTCATCCAGGCTGTAGTATAGTGGCGCAGTTATAAGCTCATTGTAACATTGAAATCCTGCCTCAGCCTACCAAGTAGCTAAGGACTACAGGTGCACACATCATAAGCTGGCTAATTTAAATTTTTTTTTTTTTTTTTTTTTTTTTTTTGCAGAGATAGGTCACGTTTTGCCCAGGCTAGTCTCAAACTTCTGTCCTCAAGTGATTCTCCCGCCTCTGCCTCTCAAAGTGCTGGAATTACAGACGTGAGCCCCTGTGTGCCTGGTTTTTTTTTTTTTGTTTGTTTTTGTTTTGTTTTTAGAGTTGCTTTTTATCAAGAGTTGGACTATAGTTTAGGTAATGGAAGAATTTCCTCATTCTTACATACAGATGTCTCATTCATAATGTGGGTATCATGTAGACTTTGTAAAGCATAGCATTATTTTTATAACTAATTTTTAAACCGTGGCTCACTATGAGTTTCATTACTGTTTTCTTCTGAATATATATACATCACAAAAATTTTTTCTTTTCGATTTCAGTACTTTTTCTCTCTCCATGATAGTTATATTATACCATATTATGTTGTTTATTTTGATAACTCATCTTTTGTCGTGTGATGATAAATGCTGTTCTTAAGTATCTTCCAAGGTCTTGTTCCTTTTGCAAACTTAATGAGTTTGTCAGCTTGGTCATTAATGAACAACATATCAGTTTGGAAAGTTGGGAATATGAATTAATAAGCCATGGAATTTCAACAGAAATTGTCATGTTATTTTTAAATTATAGGAAAGCCAACCATCAAACAAGTGGTTATTAATCAAGTACATGGTCTGTACTCTATTAATACTGAAAAAGTGGCCGGACGCGGTGGCTCACGCCTGTAATCCTAGCACTCTGGGAGGCCGAGGCAGGCGGATCACTCGAGGTCAGGAGTTCAAAACCAGACTGAGCAAGAGCGTTACTCCGTCTCTACTATAAATAGAAGAAATTACTTGCCAACTAATAATATAGAAAAATTAGCCGGCATGGTGGCGCATGCCTGTTGTCCCAGCTACTTGGGCGGCTGAGGCAGCAGGATTGCTTGAGGCCAGGAGATTGAGGTTGCTGTGAGCTAGGCTGATGCCACGGCACTCACTCTAGCCTGGGCAACAAAGTGAGACTCTGTCTCAAAAGAAAAAAAAAAAAATACTGAAAATGTCTGATCAACCATGGCCATAATGGAAGTTTGGATAACTCTGTAAATACCATCTGTCACAGTTCATTAGTGCTACTATAACAAAATAACCTGAGAGTGGGTCATTTATAAATAATAGAAATTTATTCCCCACAGTTATGGAGGCTGAGAAATCCAAGATCAAGGCACTGGGAGTTTCAGTGTCTGGTGAGGGCCTGATCACTGCTTCCAAATGGCACCTTGACCTCTACGTCCTCACATGGTGGAAGGCAGAAAGGCAAAAGGGACCACAGTGTTAGTTCCCTCCAGTTCCCTTATAAGGCCACTAACCCCATTCATGAAGGTTCCACTGGCATGCCTTAATCACCTCCTTCTTAATAATACTACCACATCGACAATTAAGTTTTAACATATTATGAATTTGGGGGAATATATTCAGACCATAGCACCATTTAATGGTTTATTTGAACATAAATGTTTCATTTCATAATATAGTAAAAGAGTATGGCTTATATCACATTAGGTGTATATTTCTGAAACTTTATGAAACTTGATTTTTTATGTAATTTAAAATATCCCAGAGTGTATAGGAAACACCTAGGGGGTATTTCCCTTGGATGTCTCCTGAGTAACCAGAAATTAAATTGTCCTAAATCAGACTCAACTTTTTAGTCCTTCAAACCTTTTCCTCTTTGTGGTGGATCACTTTGGAATGCTAGCTCTCCCTTATCTACTATATTCACTCAATCCCAGAATCCTGTCACTTCTACCTGCTAAAAAGCCTTTTAGTCTATATGCAGTTTTCTTGTTCTTTTGTACTGTAATTCAAATCACTGTTCTCACATGAGTTATCCAGTTATCCCTATAACGTAACTGGTCTTTCAATCTATCCTACCCTGTGCCAGTTTTTTCTCAACACTGTAGTAAATGAAAATTGAGTAAATGAAAATGCAGATGATAAAAATCTAAATTGCTTTTTAAAGAGATTTGCAAGTCCTTTTAGGATCTAGATCCTGCCTCTTTTCCTGTCATATCTCTTGTTTACTATTCTTTCCAATATTCTTCTTCATCACAAATCCTCCAGCCAAACTAAACAGTTTTCAGATTTCCAGATGTGCCATATGGTGTCCTGTCTGGGATTTTGCCCATGCTGCTTCCTCTTATTTTCTTCACTGGTCTTCACTTGTGCTAACTTGTACCTATCCTTAGGTATGAGGTTATCTTTCACCTCCTTGGGCAGCCTCACTGTTTTCGATGTCCTCTCTAGGCATTTGGACTGTGTTATGATTCCCAACTAGATGTGAACAAACTTCTGTAGAGTAGGGGCTGTGAATTATTTGTCCTTAGTACCTACACTGGGCCTGGTATGTTGTAGCTTAGTGGCTTCATACCTGTGAAATGAATAAATGAATGATATTTTAATGTGATTATTCTTTACTGTTCATTCTGTCGAAAATCATCCAAGGCAAGGCTATTTCTTTTATGAGTTCATTTTTATTTTAAGCTTGAGTTTTAATATTGGCATCCATACTAACTTTCAACATTTTTTATCTATTTCATTTACTATGTTAAGTTTGTTTAGGCATAAATCACTTTTTTAAAAATAATTGTTGGTTTATTTTCTTTTTATAACTTTGAGATTTATCCCTGCCTCAGGTGGAAGATGCGCTGTCCTATCTTGACCAGGTGAAGCTGCAGTTTGGTAGTCAGCCTCAGGTCTACAATGATTTCCTTGACATCATGAAGGAATTTAAATCTCAGAGGTAAAAGATGTGTGGTTGTACTCAAGCTTTGTGCATTAATTTTGAAAGTAGGAAGATACAGCTTATTCTTACGTGCTGAAAGATAAGTGATACCCCCTTCTGAGGGTTGAACTGTCAGTATCATCCCTTTATTTTTGCTTTATTGGTGGAAATTACAGCCATTATACTTTTGTTTTCTCTCTATTGGTAAATTTTTCTTGACTAAAATTTTTCCTAGTGCTTCATCTCAGCTAGGGAAGTAGCACTAGTAATGACTTAGGCTATTTGATTTCTTTCTTTCTTTCTTTCTTTCTTTCTTTCTTTCTTTCTTTCTTTTTTTTTTTTTTTTTTTTTTTCTTTCTTTCTTTCTTTCTTTCTTATTTCTTGAGCTTTTTTTTTTTTTTTTTTTTTTTTTTTTGAGACAGAGTCTCACTTTGTTGCTCAGGCTAGAGTGAGTGCCGTGGCATCAGCCTAGCTCACAGCAACCTCAATCTCCTGGCCTCAAGCAATTCTTCTGCCTCAGCCTCCCGAGTAGCTGGGACTACAGGCATGCGCCACCATGCCTGGCTAATTTTTGTATGTATATTTTTGGTTGGTCAATTAATTTCTTTCTATTTTTTAGTAGAGACGGGGTCTCGCTCTTGCTCAGGCTGGTTTCGAACTCCTGACCTCGAGCAATCTGCCCACCTCGTCCTCCCAGAGTGCTAGGATTACAGGCGTGAGCCACCACACCCGGCCGGCTATTTGATTTTTGAATTGGTTTAAGATGCCCTGATGTTCTGGCATGGTTCACTGTCAAAAAAGAATAACTCATCTGAACAATATAGACACATACTCAGTAAGTGGTTTATACTGGTGTATTGAAGGTTAGGTCTTGTTTGGGGTTTATAGCTTTGTATTTATTACCTGAGTATCTGCTTGATTGTTACAATGAATGTATATTCTGTTCAAAACTGTGACCAAGCCTCTTTAGATCTAAAGCTAAATTGCTGTGGAATTTCAGAGATCTTTATATATTGTTAATTTCATAATATGCAAGTTGATTTATATCCTGTGTAGAGAAAACCCAGTGGAAAGTGAATTGCTTTCTTTCTAGGATGTTAGTTGAGCTTCCGATCCATCATTTTTCTTTTTGTTTTTTATCAGCATTGATACTCCAGGAGTGATTAGTCGTGTGTCCCAGCTGTTCAAAGGCCATCCTGACTTGATAATGGGCTTTAACACATTCTTGCCCCCTGGCTACAAAATTGAGGTGCAGACTAATGACATGGTGAATGTGACAACTCCTGGCCAAGTTCATCAGATCCCCACCCACGGCATCCAGCCCCAGCCTCAACCAGCACCGCAACATCCTTCCCAGCCTTCAGCCCAATCAGCCCCAGCTCCTGCCCAGCCAGCTCCTCAGGCCCCACCTGCCAAAGTCAGTAAGGTGAGCACTTGGAAAATATTCCATCATGTGAAATGCATCCCCAGAAGACACCCTCCTTTGACATGTCCCCTTTATGTAAGTCTTAAATAGAGACACAAGTTATAAAGATTTCATCAGAGGAGATGCAGTAGTCATATCACTATAATAATGTGGTTCACATTTACATACCATATATTTAGATATCTATTTAAATCAATACATCAATAAACTCCCAAGCACTTTTTTTTTTTTTTTTGAGGACAGAGTCTCACTTTGTTGCTCAGGCTAGAGTGGGAGTGCCGTGGTGTCAGCCTGAGCTCACAGCAACCTCAAAATCCTGGCTCAAGCAATCCTGCTGCCTCAGCCTCCCGAGTAGCTGGGACTACAGGCATGCGCCACCATGCCGGCTAATTTTTTCTGTTTATGATTTATTGGCAATTAATTTCTTTCTATTTATAGTAGAGACGGGGTCTCGCTCTTGCTCAGGCTGGTCTCGAACTCCTGACCTTGAGCAATCCGCCCGCCTTAGCCTCCCAGAGAGCTAGGATTACAGGCGTGAGCCACCGCGCCCGGCTCCAAGCACTTTTTTGTCCCCAGTTTCTGCTTATTATACCCATGAACATCCAAATAGGTGGTAACTTTTTTTGTATAGTAGTACTTTGACAGCACAGGCAGCAATGGTTATTTTACCATGGTCCAATTATGCTACTGCCTCCAAGGTCATCGTTTTATAAAAGTTATTCCATTTACTAGGTTAGGTCATAGCAAGCCAAGCACAAGATCCTACTGTTGCTGATGGGGTGTACTTGGTCTAGAACTACACTGTCTGATACAGTAGTCACTAGCCATGTATGACTAGTTAAATTGTTTTTCAATTGTATTAGCTACATTTCAAGTGCTCAGTAGCCACAAATGGCTAGTGGCTATTGTATAGGGCAGTACAAATAAAAAGCATTTAGGTCATCTCAGAGAGTTCTATTGGACAGAGCTAGCCTCAAAGACTTTTTCATATGGATTTACTGTAACAATTGAGATGCTGTTTTTTTCACATTACAGATCTGTATAGAATGAGTTTTTTCCCCTATCTGTACCTGTTGAGCTAGTGAGCTTAAAAATTGCATATGAAAAATTCCCTATAATTGGGGATGGCTCCAGTTTTAAAGTTTTATGTAGAAAATCTGAGACTGAGCTATTAAGAATGTGTGAACCATGTATAACTCCTACCCCTGCCCAGCATTATTTGAGTTGGGCTAAAATAGCCTGGCCTTAGTGAATAAGTAAAGGAGATAAATTGATCAGACACCTTGTTTCTCTTTAGTTTGAACTTACTTTCCCTGTGTCAAACCCTCTGTGCTCCTGAGGAGAATAAAGACTTTTTTCTTTTTAGCCTTCCCAACTACAAGCACATACTCCAGCCAGTCAGCAGACTCCCCCACTCCCACCATATGCATCCCCACGTTCTCCACCGGTCCAGCCTCACACACCAGTGACAATCTCATTGGGAACGGCCCCATCCTTGCAGAACAATCAGCCCGTGGAGTTTAATCATGCCATCAACTATGTTAATAAGATCAAGAACAGATTCCAGGGCCAACCAGACATCTACAAGGCGTTCCTGGAGATTTTGCACACATACCAGGTAAGAGGTTGCCACTTCAGCTTGTCTTAACCAGTCCACCCTCTGAGGCCATCTAATCTAAGAAGAACTTGAGTAACCATTACTGTATCCATTAATTCTTACTGGAAATTAACCAGTTATAAACTATGATGTGTGTTTATAAGGCTAGTTTTATTTGTCTGACTTGATTGCCCTATAGCATACAGTTAGGATTTTTTTTTTTGAGACAGAGTCTCACTCTGTTGCCCGGGCTAGAGTGTGTATAGGAAACACCTAGGGGGTATTTCCCTTGGATGTCTCCTGAGTAACCAGAAATTAAATTGTCCTAAATCAGACTCAACTTTTTAGTCCTTCAAACCTTTTCCTCTTTGTGGTGGATCACTTTGGAATGCTAGCTCTCCCTTATCTACTATATTCACTCAATCCCAGAATCCTGTCACTTCTACCTGCTAAAAAGCCTTTTAGTCTATATGCAGTTTTCTTGTTCTTTTGTACTGTAATTCAAATCACTGTTCTCACATGAGTTATCCAGTTATCCCTATAACGTAACTGGTCTTTCAATCTATCCTACCCTGTGCCAGTTTTTTCTCAACACTGTAGTAAATGAAAATTGAGTAAATGAAAATGCAGATGATAAAAATCTAAATTGCTTTTTAAAGAGATTTGCAAGTCCTTTTAGGATCTAGATCCTGCCTCTTTTCCTGTCATATCTCTTGTTTACTATTCTTTCCAATATTCTTCTTCATCACAAATCCTCCAGCCAAACTAAACAGTTTTCAGATTTCCAGATGTGCCATATGGTGTCCTGTCTGGGATTTTGCCCATGCTGCTTCCTCTTATTTTCTTCACTGGTCTTCACTTGTGCTAACTTGTACCTATCCTTAGGTATGAGGTTATCTTTCACCTCCTTGGGCAGCCTCACTGTTTTCGATGTCCTCTCTAGGCATTTGGACTGTGTTATGATTCCCAACTAGATGTGAACAAACTTCTGTAGAGTAGGGGCTGTGAATTATTTGTCCTTAGTACCTACACTGGGCCTGGTATGTTGTAGCTTAGTGGCTTCATACCTGTGAAATGAATAAATGAATGATATTTTAATGTGATTATTCTTTACTGTTCATTCTGTCGAAAATCATCCAAGGCAAGGCTATTTCTTTTATGAGTTCATTTTTATTTTAAGCTTGAGTTTTAATATTGGCATCCATACTAACTTTCAACATTTTTTATCTATTTCATTTACTATGTTAAGTTTGTTTAGGCATAAATCACTTTTTTAAAAATAATTGTTGGTTTATTTTCTTTTTATAACTTTGAGATTTATCCCTGCCTCAGGTGGAAGATGCGCTGTCCTATCTTGACCAGGTGAAGCTGCAGTTTGGTAGTCAGCCTCAGGTCTACAATGATTTCCTTGACATCATGAAGGAATTTAAATCTCAGAGGTAAAAGATGTGTGGTTGTACTCAAGCTTTGTGCATTAATTTTGAAAGTAGGAAGATACAGCTTATTCTTACGTGCTGAAAGATAAGTGATACCCCCTTCTGAGGGTTGAACTGTCAGTATCATCCCTTTATTTTTGCTTTATTGGTGGAAATTACAGCCATTATACTTTTGTTTTCTCTCTATTGGTAAATTTTTCTTGACTAAAATTTTTCCTAGTGCTTCATCTCAGCTAGGGAAGTAGCACTAGTAATGACTTAGGCTATTTGATTTCTTTCTTTCTTTCTTTCTTTTTTTTTTTTTTTTTTTTGAGACAGAGTCTCACTTTGTTGCTCAGGCTAGAGTGAGTGCCGTGGCATCAGCCTAGCTCACAGCAACCTCAATCTCCTGGCCTCAAGCAATTCTTCTGCCTCAGCCTCCTGAGTAGCTGGGACTACAGGCATGCGCCACCATGCCTGGCTAATTTTTGTATGTATATTTTTGGTTGGTCAATTAATTTCTTTCTATTTTTTAGTAGAGACGGGGTCTCGCTCTTGCTCAGGCTGGTTTCGAACTCCTGACCTCGAGCAATCTGCCCACCTCGTCCTCCCAGAGAGCTAGGATTACAGGCGTGAGCTACCACACCCGGCCGGCTATTTGATTTTTGAATTGGTTTAAGATGCCCTGATGTTCTGGCATGGTTCACTGTCAAAAAAGAATAACTCATCTGAACAATATAGACACATACTCAGTAAGTGGTTTATACTGGTGTATTGAAGGTTAGGTCTTGTTTGGGGTTTATAGCTTTGTATTTATTACCTGAGTATCTGCTTGATTGTTACAATGAATGTATATTCTGTTCAAAACTGTGACCAAGCCTCTTTAGATCTAAAGCTAAATTGCTGTGGAATTTCAGAGATCTTTATATATTGTTAATTTCATAATATGCAAGTTGATTTATATCCTGTGTAGAGAAAACCCAGTGGAAAGTGAATTGCTTTCTTTCTAGGATGTTAGTTGAGCTTCCGATCCATCATTTTTCTTTTTGTTTTTTATCAGCATTGATACTCCAGGAGTGATTAGTCGTGTGTCCCAGCTGTTCAAAGGCCATCCTGACTTGATAATGGGCTTTAACACATTCTTGCCCCCTGGCTACAAAATTGAGGTGCAGACTAATGACATGGTGAATGTGACAACTCCTGGCCAAGTTCATCAGATCCCCACCCACGGCATCCAGCCCCAGCCTCAACCAGCACCGCAACATCCTTCCCAGCCTTCAGCCCAATCAGCCCCAGCTCCTGCCCAGCCAGCTCCTCAGGCCCCACCTGCCAAAGTCAGTAAGGTGAGCACTTGGAAAATATTCCATCATGTGAAATGCATCCCCAGAAGACACCCTCCTTTGACATGTCCCCTTTATGTAAGTCTTAAATAGAGACACAAGTTATAAAGATTTCATCAGAGGAGATGCAGTAGTCATATCACTATAATAATGTGGTTCACATTTACATACCATATATTTAGATATCTATTTAAATCAATACATCAATAAACTCCAAGCACTTTTTTTTTTTTTTTTTTTTTCTTTTTTTCTTTTTTTTTTTTTTTTTTTTGAGACAGAGTCTCACTCTGTTTCCCAGGCTAGAATGTAGTGGTGTCATCATAGCTCACTGCAGTCTCAAACTCCTGAGCTCAAGTGATCTTCCTGCCTCAACCTCCCAAGTAGCTGGGACTATGTGTTCACTCCACCACACTTGGCTGGTTTTTCTTTTTGTGGTAGAGACAGAGTCTTGCTCTTGCGCAGGTTGGTCTCTTACTTCTGGTCTCAACAATCCTTCCCCTCAGCCTCCCAAAGTGCTAGGATCATAGGTGTGAGCCATTGTGCCTGGCCCCAGTCAGGATTTTTAAAGTCATTGCCCTGTGACATGAATGGCTATTTTATCAGGGAAGTTTAGAGGATGATTTGTGTAGTTTAGTTAATCTACAGTGGAAGATGGAGAAATTTCTATAGTGTTTATCAGTTGTTGGTGGTTCCCTGGGCATTCACATTTACTGCCCTGGTATTGAAAGTAATTAATTACCATCCATCATCATCTCCTTTCTCAACTTAAAAGTCTGCAGTCAAAACAGATGCTAAGAACATAGACTTTCTTAAGTACAGCCTAAGTAGATAATAGTGCTTCCATCAGATATTCCAGAAAGTGCAAAGGTGAGTGATTCAAAAGAGTAGCCCTCTAATATGATCTCTTCCTCTTTACAATTCTTCAGAAAGAACAGAGAAATGCTAAGGAAGCTGGAGGAAACTACACTCCAGCATTGACTGAGCAGGAGGTATATGCCCAGGTGGCTCGTCTCTTTAAAAACCAGGAAGATCTGTTGTCAGAATTTGGACAGTTCCTACCGGATGCCAACAGCTCTGTGGTAAGTTTTATTTAGAAGAAGAATTACACTATTTAGGATTATCTTCTTAGATAAATTTGGAAAGTTACAATCAGAAGAGAACTTACAGCCGGGCGCAGTGGCTCACCCCTATAATCCTAGCACTCCGGGAGGCCGAGGCGAGGCGGGCGGATCGTTTGAGCTCAGGAGTTCAAGACCAGCCTGAGCAAGAGCGAGACCCCATCTCTACTAAAAATAGAAAGAAATTAATTGGCCAACTAAAAATATATAGAAAAAATTAGCTGGGTGTGGTGGCGCATGCCTGTAGTCACAGCTACTCAGGAGGCTGATACAGAAGGATCGCTTGAGCTCAGGAGTTTGAGGTTGCTGTGAGCTAGGCTGACACCACAGCACTGTAGCCCGGGTAACAGAGGGAGACTCTGTCTCCAAAAAAACCAAAAAGAGAACTTAGATGGTATTTACTTGCTTTGATAGGAACGTTTATCTCTTTCATATGTCTTAATCAGCTTTTAAGCAAAACAACTGCTGAGAAGGTTGATTCTGTGAGAAACGACCATGGGGGCACTGTGAAGAAGCCCCAGCTGAACAACAAGCCGCAGAGACCCAGCCAGAATGGCTGCCAGGTCCGCAGGCACTCTGGACCAGGAGCCACCCCTCCAGTGAAGGTAAGAATGGGCAGTGACTGCTCATTTTGATTTTCACTAGCAATTCTAGTGGACAACTACTCCAGGGGTGGTCACATGTTATCTTAAGCGTGTTGGGAGTTGGATCCTGGATATTCATTTGGAGCAAGTTGCTGTTTGTCAGAGAAACTCAATGCAAAGCTTTCTTATCTGGCTTTACAAAAGAATGTTAGAATAACACTAATTACTTGGCCTACTGTGTTTTTTTCAGTTCTTATTGTTTTTTCTTGTATTATCTCTGTTTGCTATGAGCTGTAGTCTCATTTTTTTGTTTGTTGCCAAGGGTTTCCAAGACTTAAATATTTTTTTCCCTTCTTCTGATTTGATGCTTTAAACATGCTTTGTGCTAAGAAAGAATATTCTTTTTTTTTAACTTCCCAAAACATAAATTATTTATAAAGGGCCAAATACACATTCCAGTTGTATACTCAGTTACACAATTTGTTTAAACTTAGATTAAAACCAAAATATTACCACGAATACCCACTTTTATGGCTAAAATATATTTTAGAAAATTTTTATTGATACATAATTTATGTATCTATAGGGTATGTGATATTTTGTTACATACATAGAATGTGTCATGATCAAGTCATGGTATTTGAGATATCCATCACTTTGAGTATCTGTCAGTTCTGTGTGTTGGGAACAATTCAAAGAAGATTCTTGAGCTTGATAATTGTTTCAGAAATAAATGCATGGTCTCTAAGGTCATCTTGGAAGTAAAGTTCATGTGCTTTGTGAGATCTCTTTGGTCTAGAGGCCTGTCCTACTCAAGGCTCTTTGTTGGGTTGCCAGAGCTCGCTCTCCCTTTCTCTCTTTTTTTTTTGTAAGAGACAAGGTCTCACTCTGTCACCCAAGCTGGAGTGCAGTGGTGTGATCATAGCTCACAGTAACCTCGAACTCTTGGGTTCCAAGCAATCCTCCTGCCTTGGCCTCCCAAAGTGCTGGCACTGTGCCCGGCCAGGTTTGCCAGATCTTATCTATATCATCTTAATCTCCAAGGCAGGACCTTTGGGCTGTAGCCGAGGGAAGTCTTAAACTCCTGTCAGTAACCCATCACATGATGTTTTTTGTTGTAGTAAACACTGATGGATGGTATGCCTATAGAAAGCTAAGCTTGCTCCTTTCTTAGCTGTAGTTTATCTGTGAGAGGGAGAGGGCTAGTTGTATGTATTGAATGTTGAATTCTTTAGTGAATTCTAAAGCAGTATGTAATATGGAATGTGTCTATATCTAATACAGATGTGTCTGCAGAATTTAATTAAAGAATAACCAAAGTTAGTGGTATTTCTAATAGTAAGAGGTAGCAAGAATCAGCTTAGATATGCTACATTCTTGGATTTGTCTCCTCCCACACTTAGTTACCCACAGGTGGAAACAATATATTCGGGGCTTACAAGTCTCCACCTACTTTCTCTTAGGCAGTGTAAGCAGAGGCTATGGCTCCTAAGAAAGTATACTCTGAAATGGCCAAGGTAAAATTACTGCTTCTCACACAGTTTGTGCATTTCTTCACAGATAGTGAGAGGTGGGGATTTTTTAAAGTAAATTCTTGCCTGACAGAGTTATATCATAACCTATTCATTCTCTTTAAAAGAACAATATTAAATTAGTCTGAGTGGATATTGCCCACAAGATAGTTATTTCTTCTATTAGGAAAATAAACTGCTTTTTTCATGAATTTTTTAATTGAAATATTATTAAAGGTTAAAGATCGATTTTGTCCACTCCAGGCAATGTGTGCCAGCTCTCTTTACAAACATCCTCTTCTCCCTCAACAGGTAGGAAACAAGGCAGTGGTATTAGATTCCAAATAAAGTTACTTTTGGCCTCTGGAAAAAGTAAGGATATTAATACCAATATTGTCACAGTTAATGCTGTGATTCATTTCTGGAGAGAACATTTAGGGAATAGAATGAACTGTGAACCTCTGGTGGAGAAAGAAAACTGACAGGCAAACTGAAATAGAGAAGAGGAGTAGAAATCATTGAGGGTGTAAAGTGAGTTAGTGACTTGAATTCTCTCATTTGTTTTAAATTATTAATCATTGGTTTCCATGATGAAACCATTAAACACAGACAAAAAGAGAAATCGACTTTTTGAATCTCACATGTTTGTATTTTTCCTTCTTTGCAGAAGAAACCAAAACTGCTCAGCCTAAAGGATTCTTCTATGGCAGATGCCAGCAAGCATGGTGTAGGAACCGAATCATTATTTTTTGATAAGGTAAGTAAATGGATGAGTTAGATTTGATACTGGCTATTAATGCCAAAAGAAAACCACCCCATCCCCAAGAAGATTTTGTTTTAAAGGCATCAAGCTGAGTAAGACTTTATATTTTTTAACATAGTTTCCAAGTTGGACGTCCTTTCAGTCTGCTAGTAGCACTGTTAGGGTAAGCTAGGGAATTGGTAGCATTGTCTGCTTTGTTTTTGTAAAGTAGTTTGTGGCAGAAGCCAGTTTTTGTGTTTTTATTTTTTGAGACAGAGTCTTTCTCTGTTGTCAGGGCTAGAGTGCAGTAGTAGCATCGTTGCTCATTGCAACCTCAGACTCCTAGGCTCAAGCGATCCTCCTACCTCTCAGTCTCCTTAGTAGCTGGGACCATAGGTGTGTACCTCTGTGCTGGCTAATTTTTCTATTTTTTGTAGAGATGGGGTCTCGCTCTTGCTCAGGTTGGTCTCAAACTCCAGAGCTCAAGCAATCCTCCCACTTCAGCCTTCCAGAGTGCTAGGGTTATAGGCATGAGCCACCTCACTGAGCCAAAAGGCAGCTTTTTTAGAAAATGCATCATGTTCCTCACAAAAGATGTTTAGGGCTCCCTGTTGTATGTCCAGGTCTCTACAGTGGAGAATATAGGTGCCTGCATCAATTGTTGAGGACTTAAGATGAGTTGTAATCTTGTAATTGTTGGCGATACTTATTTGTGGTATGCAGGTATAGGGTTCATGGGAATTCTGATTTAATTGTATGTTGTCAAAGCTCCCCAGGTGATTCTACTGAGCTGCTGAGAGCTGAGATTACTGGTGTAAATGGTGTGTGGGTGCCTTAGTTTGGCTCTCCTCTTGTGTCTGACTTCCTTCTTGGAGTCTAGTTGGTGATTAGCAAGCAGCTTTCATCAGGTAGTTGCAGCTGTTGAGCTTTTTGCTGGCAGGAACCACCCTAGATTGATATGTGGTGATTTACTCTGTCTTGCAAGTCTGGTGTTTTGGAGGAGGGCAAATGATTTAACATCTCCATGATTGGTACTTTGTGATCCCTTTCTGTCTCCTGTGCCTTCGTGAGCTCTTCTGTAAAAGAGGCTCTGACTCAAACCATTTCTGCAGGCTCCTTGGGCACTTGGTACTTTTAGGCAAATGTAGAAGTCCAGGTCACAACCAATAAATGGCGAGAAAAGGATGAGGAGGGGTAACTGTTACAGATTAAATAAGAATTAAGAGAGATATAAGCCGAATGTGAAATGCAGACTTTGGATTCTGAAATTAATTTTGAAAGACATTTATTAGATAATTCAAATTTGTGCATAGACTTAATATTAAATGCTATTAAGGAATCTTTTGAAAATAAGGTAATTTTTAAGAGGAATGGTATTTTTAGGAGTACTTTTTCTTAGTGATACATACTGAAGTATTATGTATAGATGGAATGTCTAGAATTTACTTTGAATTCAGTGGTGGAGAAATGGTTATAGATGAAATAAAATTTATATATTGATCATCGAGGTTTGGTGAGTACATATAGGGTTCATTAAACTTCTAGTGTTTCTCCAAAAACGAATAAAAATTAAATAGGGGACAAGAGTATCAAAGGTAAAGTACTCTTTCATGTTTAGCTTTAAAAGTCCATATTCTCTATAGTGTCTAATGGACAGTTTAAAAGCATACAGAAGTCGAGAACAGGGGTTGTTGATAAGCCATTTGGTGTGGTAATGGTCTGCAGCCACACCAAAGGACCACAGTGCTAAATATTTACTTTTGGAATTGAAACTACATTGGTCATCTAGCCAGGTTAGTTTTACTTTGTCTATGCCATTGAACATTTTAGGTTTTTGGACATTAAAATGCTCAATATTGTAAATAGAGGAAGGAAAAGGTTCAGGTAAGAGGGCAGAAGTACTTTACTTTAAAAGGTCATTATTCAAGATTATCAGAATTTGAAACAGTGTTGCAAAGATTCTTGCTGTAAACTTCTGTTAAGAGAGACAACAAGGCCGGGCGCTGTGGCTCACGCCTGTAATCCTAGCTCTTGGGAGGCCGAGGCGGGCGGATTGCTCAAGGTCAGGAGTTCAAAACCAGCCTGAGCAAGAGCGAGACCCCGTCTCTACTATAAATAGAAAGAAATTAATTGGCCAACTGATATATATAGAAAAAATTAGCCGGGCATGGTGACACATGCCTGTAGTCCCAGCTACTTGGGAGGCCGAGGCAGCAGGATTGCTTGAGGCCAGGAGTTTGAGGTTGCTGTGAGCTAGGCTGACGCCACGGCACTCACTCTAGCCTGGACAACAAAGTGAGACTCTGTCTCAAAAAAAAAATAAAATTAAAAAAAAAAAAAAAAAAAAATCCTAGATCTCAATTCCCCACTTAACCTTTTTTCTTCTGGCTGTCTCCAAAGGTCCGAAAGGCTCTTCGGAGCACAGAGGCATATGAAAATTTTCTGCGCTGTCTTATTATTTTTAACCAGGAGGTGATCTCTCGGGCTGAGCTTGTGCAACTAGTCTCTCCTTTCCTGGGGTAAGTGAAGTTAGGGGCTCAGCCCTGATGCATGCTATGGAGGGCAGGTAATACTTGATCTGTGAGAGTATATGATAGGCAGAGTTAATTTAATTGAAGTAGGATGGTTAACTCAAATGTTGGTGTCAAAAGGGTCCTGAGAAGTTTTCATTCCAACTCTAAAGGTGAGAAAATAGAGAGGGCACGGAGGTATTTGTTGACTAATGGCCAAGACTAGTGGTCTCTTCGTCCTCTGGCTAGTGCTGGATGTTTATAGAGACAAAACTCTTCCAGGGTTCTAGAATCTAGAATGTATTTGACAGCCTAAGAATTATATGAACATTAAAGCAATATTCTTGATCAAAAGAATGGCTGGTTATTGCCTGGTGCAGCTCTTTCATTACCACTTTCATTGATCTGAGAGTATTCTATAAGAAAAGGAGAAACCAGATGCTCAGAAGCAGTGCTTCTTGGGAAGGAAATAATTTTTCTCTGGTAGTGGAGTTCTGACCCCAAAGCAGATGGTTGTAGTCACACCTCAGGATAACTGCATCATGTCTCTAATTGCTTACTAGTGTTTGGTTTGATTCTTCAGGAAATTCCCTGAATTGTTTAATTGGTTTAAAAACTTTCTGGGATATAAAGAGTCTGTACATCTGGAAACTTTTCCAAAGGAACGAGCTACAGAGGGCATTGCAATGGAGATAGATTACGCCTCTTGTAAACGACTGGGCTCCAGTTATCGAGCCCTTCCGAAGAGTTACCAGCAGCCCAAGTGTACAGGACGGACACCTCTCTGTAAAGAGGTAAGGCCTTGCCCAGTAAGGGTGAGGGTCAGCCCTGCATCCTGAACTTTCTGTGGAACTAGAGATTGAGTAAGCAATGTGGGGATCTGGAAATAAGAAAAGGCAAAATAACCAAAAAAAGAAGAATAAAGAGATTGAGAATTTATATATATGTATGATGAAATCAAGAATATCTCCATCTTTTTTAAAAAGAAAATGTTTTCCACTTGTATTCGGAACCTTTTATGTTCTAATAATCATTTTGTAAACTTCCTAAAGGTGAAATAACATTAGCTGTTTCTCCCCTCCCATAGAGTTGTGTCTTTTTATTGAGAATGTTCAGTCACCAGAAAGCTTTTTTAGGCTTTCGTTTCAGTCTCTCTCCTTCTACCCAAAGGTTTTAAATGACACCTGGGTTTCCTTCCCTTCATGGTCTGAGGACTCTACCTTTGTCAGTTCCAAGAAGACTCAGTATGAAGAACATATTTATCGTTGTGAAGATGAACGCTTTGAGGTATGAGCTCCTTTGTCATTGGAAGTTTGGGAGATGGGAGTTCTCTCTAAGTGAAAGGCTATCTTTTCAGGGTTTGAGGTTTGGCTCTTTAAGACTGAAAAGCTAGGCTGGGAGCGGTGGCTCATGCCTGTAATCCTAGCACTCTGGGAGGCCGAGGCGGGCGGATTGTTTGAGGTCAGGAGTTTGAAAACAGCCTGAGCAAGAGCGAGACCTCGTCTCTACTATAAATAGAAAGAAATTAAGTGGCCAACTAATATATATAGAAAAAATTAGCCGGGCATAGTGTCGCATGCCTGTAGTCCCAGCTACTTGGGAGGCCGAGGCAGCAGGATTGCTTGAGGCCAGGAGTTTGAGGTTGCTGTGAGCTAGGCTGACACCATGGCACTCACTCTAACCTGGGCAACAAAGCGAAGACTCTGTCTCAAAAGCAAAAAAGACTGAAAAGCCAGAAGCTCACATTCTTTTGTGGTAAACGTTTGTTGTGTTACTTACCATGCTTTATGCAAATGTGACATTTTTAGGCTGTGTTAGCCCTTTTAACTGAAATTGTCCATTGATGACTAAATAATACTAATTTGGATTTTGAGTGGCATTTTAAAGATTATTGTGTTTTATGTGGTATAGAAAATCAGTATCCTAAAACCTATAGGGCTTTCTTGAAGATGTTTTTAAATGATTTATTTTAAGGTCTGTGTATATTGTTACTCTTAGCAGATTATTCTTGACATGATTCACAAACCAGCTCTGCTGTGAGAACTGGAATTCTTCTCTCATATTTCTCTTATTGATTTGGCTTTTGAAAGAAAGTAAAATTAGGGACTTTATTTTATTTTTTTGCGTTTGGATTTAGTTGGAAGGGATTTTATTTTAAAGTAGTTGACAAGGGAAGAGTGGAGTGAATGAGTTGGTAGAGGGCCCCTATATCAGAAGGGGGAGAGCATTGAAAGCTTAAAATCCTCAGTGTGTTTGGATATCTGGTTCGCTTATGTCATCACCAAAAAGGGAAGTTCAGTGTGTCTAAAGAGGTAAAATAACATGTGTCCTATTTATTATATCACATTAAATAAACTGGCTCTGTTTATTCATATAGATGGGAGATACCTTGCTTTTTTTTTTAACCTGTACTGATTTAACTGCTAGTTTTCTCTCTTCTCACTTGTTTCACCTGTTTCCAGTGTATTTTGAATAAAGAGCCACATGTTGCCTGGCCACTGGCAGGTGGTTGGCCATCTTTGCCCCAGACTTTATGAGTTTAAACTAAGTCATGACAAAAGTTAACTTCATGGGGAGTTTTATCAAGCTAAAGAAAGCAATTCTTTGTTACCTATGTTTAGTAAGGTTAGAAGATGATGATTTAGAAAGCAGAGGTTGGGCTGAGCGTGGTGGATGGCCCCTGTAATCCCAGCTACTTCAGCGGCTGAGGCAGGAAGATCACTTGAGCCCAGGAATTCTAGGCAGCAGAGAGCTATGATTCCTCCATTGCACACAAGCCCGGGTGACTAAGCAAGACCTGGTCTCTTTAAAAAAAAAAAAAAAGGGCCGGGCAGATTGCTCAAAGTCAGGAGTTCAAAACCAGCCTGAGCAAGAGCGAGACCCCGTCTCTACTATAAATAGAAAGAAATTAATTGGCCAACTGATATATATAGAAAAAATTAGCCGGGCATGGTGGCGCATGCCTGTAGTTCCAGCTACTCGGGAGGCTGAGGCAGAAGGATCGCTTGAGCCCAGGAGTTTGAGGTTGCTGTGAGCTAGGCTGACGCCACGGCACTCACTCTAGCCTGGACAACAAAGCGAGACTCTGTCTCAAAGAAAAAAGTAAATAAAATAAAATATGGCATCTCTTGTTGACAGGATGTTCCTATTCTCTCAATTAGCATTCTCTCAATTAGCATGTCCGCAAATAAGAGGCAACATCCTTATTTCCTATCTGTGATTACAAAGATGAACATGAAAGAAGTATGGTGTATGCATGTGCTTTAGCATGTGCTTAGAATTTGATATGATGGGCTAGTTTGAAGCGGCTGTCCCTTAATCAAAATAGGTCAGTAGTACTATAGTACAGATAACCCCCCAATCTCAGTGACTTGAAAAAACAGGATTTATTTTTTGATCATTCTATATGTGCATTGATGTTTAATAGGGATTTTGCTCATCAGAATTATTTGGGGGCCCACACTGAGAGAAGGCCACCATCATGAATATTGCTAGTCATGAGAGGGAAAAGAAAGCTCAGAAGGCTCTCACACCCTTACATGCTTCAGCCTAGAAGTAATAACTTCTACTTACCTCATCACAACTCATTTACCAGAATTAGTTACATGGATCTATCCAATCATAACAGGGCTGGGAAGTTAGGCCAGAAATATTAACAAAATGACTACTACCATCACAAAACAAGAAAACATAGGGAGAATTTATACAAACATTTGGTGTAGGCCTTTGAGACTACTCATTTACTTAAGTTTCTGTTTCATATTTAGAGAATCTTGTGTTAAGCCTAAGAAAAACTAGACTCAAAGGTGGCCAATCATTTCTTTAACCAGGACAGCCTAGGCCACTGCTGCAAAATAAGTGCCAGGAGTTCAGTAAGAATTTCAATTTTTACCCAGAGATACAGCATTGAGTTTTTTAAGGAATGGTCGTCACTGCTCTTATGACTGTAGATGTGGAACAAGGCTATTCAATATTTAGATATTGTATATTTAAATATTAGAACTTATGCCAAAAAAAAAACTTACTCTCAAGACTGATTTGTCATCTTAAGTGGTCTTTTTGGGATTATTTTGATTTTCATTGTTTGTAACAGATCTTAGCAATTCAGGAAAGGTAATTGTCTCCTGTTAGGTCAATCTGGTCTGGAATCAGCAGTCCTAAGCAAAGCACACTGTGGTCATGGTGGTGATAGAGATAATAACTACCACTTATCCTTCTTAATTATATGTTTCTTATGTGCCCAACATTGTGCTAAACACTGTATGTAGATGGTATCATTTAATCCACAAAACAACTTTATGAGAGTAGCAGGTGCTGTTATCTATCCCTATTTTACTGGTTAGGAAACAGCATTATATGGCCAGCATGGCAGAGCCAGGATTCAAATACTGGGAGTTTGACTCCGTACCTTATTCTCTTGACCACTGCTCTATTCTGGTTTGAGTCCTAAACACCCTTCTTTGTCTTCTTCTTTAGCTTGATGTAGTTTTAGAGACCAATCTGGCAACAATCCGGGTTCTAGAAGCAATACAGAAGAAACTTTCCCGCTTGTCTGCTGAGGAACAAGCCAAATTTCGTTTGGACAACACCCTTGGGGGCACATCAGAAGTCATCCATCGAAAAGCACTCCAGAGGATATATGCTGACAAAGCAGCTGATATAATTGATGGTCTGAGAAAGAACCCCTCCATTGCCGTTCCAATCGTCCTTAAAAGGTATCTGAGCAAATGTGCCCTTTATGCTTTTTTTTTTTTTTTTTTTTTTTTTGAGACGGAGTCTCTCTTTGTTGCTTGGGCTAGTGTGAGTGCCATGGCATCAGCCTAGCTCACAGCAACCTCAATCTCCTGGGCTCAAGCGATCCTACTGCCTCGGCCTCCCAAATAGCTGGGACTACAGGCATGTGACACCATGCCTGGCTAATTTTTTCTATATATATTAGGTGGCCAAATAATTTCTTTCTATTTATAGTAGAGACTGGGTCTCAGTCTTGCTCAGGCTGGTCTCAAACTTCTGAGTAGCTGGGGACTATAGGCATGTACCACCATGACTGACTAATTTTTTCTATATATTTTTAGTTGTCCAGCTAATTTCTTAATTTCTATTTTTAGTAGAGATGGGGTCTTGCTCTTGCTCAGGCTGGTCTTGAACTCCTGGGCTCAAGCTATACTCCTGCCTCAGCCTCCCGGGTAGCTGGGACTACAGGCATGTGCCACCATGCCTGGCTAATTTTTTTTATTTTTAGTTGTTTAGCTAATTTCTATTTTTGGTAGAGACAGGGTCTCACTCTTTGTCAGGCTGGTCTCGAACTCCTGAGCTCAAGCAGTCCTCCTGCTTCGGCCTCCCAGAGTGCTAGGGTTACAGGCATGAGCCATAGCGCCCGACCCCCTTTGTGCTTTAGTGTATTTCATGGCAGGTATAGTGTCCCATTAAATAAGCCTCTCATTTTCAATCTGGTTGTCCCATGAGACCTTTCTTTCTCACCAACCCTGGTTGTTGGAATTCAGGTGCAGAGTGGAACTTCTTGTTGGGGTTCTGTGTAACCAACATTAGAGAACAAACCCTGAAGGTTCACAGTGGAGTGCTCTGTATGTTTGAAGCAGGCATTTTAAAATACAACCACCCATGTTTCTATCACTCAGTGCTGACTGTTGTTACCATCTTTGTTTTTTAACAAGAAAAATCATTCTTTGTAAAATATGATACATGCTCATTATTAAAAAAAGATTTAGCTTATTTTTACCAAGGATGTCTTGCTTCTTTCTCCTAATAAGCCTTCATGTCAGACTTAGATATAAAGGGGCTGTTGTACCCACCTAAGGCCAGGTGTCAAGTAGTTGGCCAGAGACTGGGCTGAGCCACAGTGTCCTCCAAGTCCCCATCGCTCTTGATAACATCGTGAATCCTTTGCTAAGAGCTAGGTTGTTTGTTGGTATCACCTGGTGAAAAATAGTTCACAAATGCCCAGATTTTGTTTTTCCTCCCTAGTCTTCCCCTACAGAACTGGCACTGATTAATGGTTTCCTCTTCTTTTTTTTTTTTTTTTTTTTTTTTTTTACTTTGTTGCCCAGGCTAGAGTGAGTGCCGTGGCGTCAGCCTGGCTCACAGCAACCTCAATCTCCGGGGCTCAGCGATCCTACTGCCTCAGCCTCCCGAGTAGCTGGGACTACAGGCATGCACCACCATGCCCGGCTAATTTTTTGTATATATATTTTTAGTTCGTCAATTAATTTCTTTCTATTTTTGGTAGAGACGGGGTCTCGCTCAGGCTGGTTTCGAACTCCTGACCTTGAGCAATCCGCCCGCCTCGGCCTCCCAAAGTGCTAGGATTACAGGCGTGAGCCACCACGCCCGGCCTGGTTTCCTCTTCTTGCCAGTGGCATTTCACTTCTGGCTTTGAGATATAGGTTATCCTTCACTTCTAGTGCTATTTTTGGGTTTTACTCTATTCTCTTATGGAGTATTAGAATCAGTTGTTCTGATCAGAATTTCCAGACTGTGTTCAGAGAAACATTACTATGTGAATTCTCTGCTCTTGAACCTTACATTTACATTACATTAGCATAGTAAACTTCTGGGAAGACCTGCAAAGAAACTTGTTTAACTTTGTTTTTGCTGGCCAAGGAAGAGAACCCTTTTTTTCAAGAAATACTTACTGACATCTGAAGGGTATTCTGTGGAATACTGTTTGAGAAGTAACTGTTCTAGGTAAGATTTCTGACTTTGGGATAAATTACTTCCCCAGAGTAAGCCCTGAATAAGTAATTTCCTCATGTAACAGAGTACAAGACTGGTTCGATAACATTTATCCCACGTTAATAATTTCAACACACCTAGTATAATTTTGACTTTGGAAATACAGTAAGCCTGGCATGTTTCTCATGTTTAAACCCTCTGAATTCCCATGTTGGTGTTTCTGTCCCCTGTCCCATTCCACTAGGTTGAAGATGAAAGAAGAAGAATGGCGAGAAGCTCAGAGAGGCTTCAACAAGGTGTGGCGAGAACAAAATGAGAAATACTACTTGAAGTCCCTGGACCACCAGGGAATCAACTTTAAACAGAATGACACCAAGGTCCTGAGGTCTAAGAGCTTACTCAATGAGATTGAGAGTATCTATGATGAGGTGAGCAGGATTTTTTACATCTGTGAGAGCACTCTAGTCTTTATTTAGCATAGCTTTGATGCCTGGAAACAACCTTTGTTAAATGTGAGACCTTCATTCTTGCTTCAAACTGTCATAGTCTTTTCTATTCCTGATTCTACCATTTTAAATCTAAACCTTACCTTTTAACTTAAGCTGATTGACTAGTTTCCTGATTTACAATCCTGCTTTCAGTTTACACCTCCCAACTCCCTCTTCCACTTCTCCCATCTGTTTCCCGCAAACAATACTTTGTATCCAGCCGGGCGAGGTGGCTCACCCCTGTAATCCTAGCACTCTGGGAGGCCGAGGCGGGTGGATCACTTGAGGTCAGAAGTTTGAAACCAGCCTGAGCAAGAGCAAGACCCCGTCTCTACTATAAATAGAAAGAAATTAATTGGCCAACTGATATATATAGAAAAAATTAGCTGGGCATGGTGGTGCATGCCTATAGTCCCAGCTACTCGGAAGGCTGAGGCAGCAGGATTGCTTGAGGCCAGGAGTTTGAGGTTACTATGAGCCAAGCTGACGCTGTAGCCTGGGCAACAGAGCGAGACTCTGGCCAAGTGCAGTGGCTAACACCTATAATCCCAGCACTTTGGGAGACTGAGACGGGAGGATCGCTTGAGCCCAGGAGTTGGAGGTTGTGGTGAACTGTGATTGTGCCATTGCACTCTATCTAGCCTGGGTGATAGAGTGAGACCTTGTCTCTCTTTTTTTTTTTTTTTTTTTTGAGACAGAGTCTCGCTTTGTTTTCCCAGGCTAAAGTGAGTGCCATGGCGTCAGCCTGGCTGAGACCTTGTCTCTTAAAAAAAGACCGGGGAGGGGGGTCTCACACCTGTAATCCTAGCACTCTGGGAGGCTGAGGGGGTAGGATAGCTTGAGGTTAGGAGTTCAAGAGCAGTGTTCAAGACTGAGAGCCATCTCTTCAAAAAATAGAAAAAGTAGCTGCACATGGAGGTGGGCACCTGTAGTCCCAGCTGCTCTGGTGGTCGAGGTGGGAGAATCGCTTGAGCCCAGGTGTTTGAGGTTACAGTGAGCTGTGATGTCACCATTGCACTCTGGGGGGCGGGGGAATGATTTCTCTTACATAAATGTAATCATCCACATTTTGCTAATGTTGTGACATCATTAACCTCTACATCCCCATCCCGAAAGTATTTTAAAGTTAATCCGAGACCTCACACCATAGCTTCCCATAAATCCTAATTTAGGATTTTAAGAAATGGTCTCAGTTCTGTCCCACTATATCCACTATAGTTAAGAAATGTGCTTCTGGTGTAGTCTGGTAGGGTTTTTGTTGCCGTAGCTGTGTCACAGAATACTTTTGTGTGTCTTTCCTATCAGAGGCAAGAGCAGGCTACAGAAGAGAATGCTGGTGTACCTGTCGGCCCGCACCTCTCACTTGCCTATGAAGACAAACAAATACTGGAAGATGCTGCCGCTCTGATTATCCACCATGTGAAAAGGCAGACAGGCATTCAGAAGGAGGACAAATACAAAATCAAGCAAATCATGCATCATTTCATTCCAGATCTGCTCTTTGCTCAGAGAGGTGATCTCTCAGATGTGGAAGAAGAGGAAGAAGAAGAGATGGATGTAGATGAAACCACAGGGACGGCTAAAAAGCACAATGGTGTTGGGGGCAGTCCCCCTAAGTCTAAGCTAATGTTTAGTAACACTGCAGCTCAAAAATTAAGAGGGATGGATGAAGTGTACAACCTCTTCTATGTCAATAACAACTGGTATATCTTTATGCGACTGCACCAGATCCTGTGCTTGAGGCTGCTGCGGATTTGTTCCCAAGCTGAACGGCAAATTGAAGAAGAAAACCGAGAGAGAGAGTGGGAACGGGAAGTGCTAGGCATAAAACGAGACAAGAGTGACAGCCCTGCTATCCAGCTACGTCTCAAGGAACCTAGTGAGTGCTTAAATTGTTGGTTTACAGAGGATGTGTGGAGTTGAGGACCTCAGAGCCTAGTTAGACTCAAAACTGCTTTCTTTTATGAACAGAGCACAGGCCCCAGAACTCTAGTTGGATTCAAATCCTAGGTCTGCAATATACTGGTTGTATGGCCTTAAACTCTCTGGACCTGTTTACCTGTAAAATGGAGGTACTACTTGTTGCCTTCTGTGGTTGCTTTATGCAAAGCACCCTGTGCAGTGCTTACATCTTAGATACTCAGTCAGTGATTAGTACTGTGGACACACCAAGGTAGGGGGTGGGTGTCATTTGCCATGAGTTTCCCAAATGGCAGATCTTTGGGTTACTGCAGAGTCCAAGGACAGATAGGAACTCAAATGTCACAGTCCATTCCACTCCATGACAGAACATGAATTCCTACTTATCCATGCCTAAGCCAGATGGAAATTTTTTCAGATATGTTTGGGTAGGACTTCTGTTTAGCCAGTAAGGTTCATGGCTCATTCCTAATAAGTAGAAATAGTTATGGAAAGGAGATTGGAACTCAAAGAGATGATGTGAGACACAGTAGAATAGGCAGAACAGGGACGAAGATGAGAAAACTCAGGAAAAGGAAAATAAGTAAGGGTTAAGGAAGCCATCATGTGCTTTAAGTAATTCTGTGCTGCCTGCTTCCAGATAACAGTTCAGTTCATAAATTAGGTACTTGAGCTGTGAACCAAAAGCTTTTTCACGAAGCCTTTTTGGACTCTTGAGGAAATAGCCAATCTGAGGAGTGCATCTTTTTTTTTTTTTTTTAAGTTTTGCTGATGTAGGAAGCTCATGTGTGGCCCTAGCCTTCTAGCTCTTGAAGAGCTCGTGACACTGCAAATTAATTCTAAAAGCCCTTGTCTGGATTAGTTCTAGTTTCAAAGAAACAAATTTTGTACCACTTTGTGGTGATTCCATCTGCTTGGGTAGAAAGTAGAAATAAAATGGCCTAATCCTGGCTTGACCACTGACTTAACCTGCTGCTTTTAAGGCTTACATAGTTTGGTCTTGAATGATAAAGCCAACCCTCACAATGACATAGCTTGTGTGGAAAAGTCTGTGGTTTGGACTCAAAGCTTTATTCTGGCATAAGGCATTTTTCACAATCAGAGCATATTTCAGAGGCTCATACCTATTTCATGGGCCTGAATAAGGTGATATTCTGTGATGAAACTCAAGCCAGTTGCTTATTTTAAGCAGTAATTGTCCTATTGTCCCTATCTTTAAAATGATTCTATCACACCTCAGATAAATGGACATAGACTGAGTTTTACACTTAGCCTTTTTTCCCCAGTACATACAGGTAACCAGTTAGTTGATGATGAGTTTTTTGTAATTTTTTTTCATTTTAGCCAATTTTTATTGAAGTGCAACATATATAAAGTATACAAATGAGAACTGTACAGCTCAGTGAATTTTTACAGCATAAACACACGTATGTTTAAAACAGATCAAGAAACGCAGATAAGCTGTTGTAGTAGGGTGTGGCTGTGGTCCCAGCTGTCGCTGTTTGGGGAGCTGAAGCAGGAAGATTGCTTGAAGCCAGTGTCGGCGACATAATAAGACCCTGTTTCTTAAAAGGACTGGGTGCAGTGGCTCACACCTATAATCCCAGCACTTTGGGCAGCCAAGATGGGGGATTACTTGAGACTAGGAGTTCAAGACCAGCCTGGGCAACATAGCCAGACCCCATCGCTACAAAAATGTAAAAACATTAGCCAGGCATGGTGTTCTGCCTGTAGTACTAGCTATTTAGGAGGCTGAGGTAGAAGGATCACTTGAGCCCAGAAGTTCAAGATTGCATTGAGCTATGATTGTGCCACTGCACTCCAGCCTGGGCAACAGAGAGAGTTTTTATGTCTCTTAAAAAACATAAAACATAGCCAGTACCCCAATAGCCTCCTTTTGCCACTATCTGGATTTCTAACGCTAGAAATTAGATAAGATGTGCCTGTTTTCAAACTTTATATGAATGAATCTTATTTTATGTAAGCCAAAGGCAGGACTGTTTCACCATTCCTTGTGCCCTCTGCTAGTTACCAGGTGTCTCTTTAACAACTGATAAGATTTATTCTAGCTAGTGGTTGAAATGAATCATGTACAGCAAATACAGATCATGTAATGCAATTTGTGAAGTACAATGTTGCAAATCCATTTTTAAACAAAAGGACTTTGACAGCCAGCGCGGTGGCTCACGCCTGTAATCCTAGCACTCTGGGAGGCTGAGGCGGGCGGATTGCTCGAGGTCAGGAGTTCGAAACCAGTCTGAGCAAGACCCCGTCTCTACTATAAACAGAAAGAAATTAATTGGCCAACTAATATATATAGAAAATTAGCCGGGCATGGTAGCGCATGCCTGTAGTCCCAGCTACTCAGGAGGCTGATGCAGAAGGATTGCTTGAGCCCAGGAGTTTGAGGTTGCTGTGAGCTAGGCTGATGCCACGGCACTCACTCTAGCCTGGTCAACAAGCGAGACTCTGTCTCAAAAAAAAAAAAAGGACTTTGACAAATGCAGATTACTTCATTATTCATAGAGGATTTAATTTGTGCTCCTATTTTCTCTTCCCAAGAGGTTTCCCAGTGCTAGGGTATGGCTGTGTCTGCCTTTTCTCATCTGAACTTTATGCTTCATTGAAATAGCTTTAGGAGCAAGTGCCCCAGGTAAAGAATGCTCTTGTGTAGGCTGGATGAGCAGGTTCCTCTCTCAGCAGAGGAGCCAACAACTTTTTGAAGGACTGGCTTCCCTGGGATATTTTCCTCTTCTGTCACACAGAGCCAGTAGTACTGTAAAGAAGTGTCTTTCTATAAAGAAGCATCTTTCTAGCATGGTCAGTCAAAATGTTAGGAGCCACTGTTAAAGTTGCAAAGTCACTTTCCTCTGGTAGTCAGTGCTAGTAATTTTAGCTACCTGTGAGATTTCATCTCTGTGTATAGTAGATTGAGTGAGTATGTTTTGAATACCTAGTGTTTGTTCCTTCCAATGTTATTTAGGCCAGCTATAGGATTTGCCCTGCACTCTATCTTCAGTCTTGTCTAAGCAGGGTAAGGCCTCACTTATCCCATCTCTCCCACAGTGGATGTTGATGTAGAAGATTATTACCCAGCATTCCTGGATATGGTGCGGAGCCTGCTGGATGGCAACATAGACTCATCACAGTATGAAGATTCACTGAGAGAGATGTTCACCATTCATGCCTACATTGCCTTTACCATGGACAAACTGATCCAGAGCATTGTCAGACAGGTGAGGGCATGGTTGAGGCCAGAGTGGGTGAGGGGAGAAAACTCTACCTGAAGATGGATCAGGCAAAGAAAAGTCAAGATTTCTGTTTCAAGAGGAAAGTCAGCTTTGTCCTATAACAAGGTTAATGAACATATGGCTCTGAAGAGGGGAAGAGGAGGTTAATGTGATGTTATGTTCCCTTTGTTAACAAAGTGGGAGTGTTTCTGCCATGTAATTGGCCCCTTTACTTTTCTCCTTGTGCCTTCAGTAGGGGCCTGCCCTATGATGCTTTCTTGCTGTCCACCTGTAAAGAGTACAATGGTCCTGACCCCAGCTCCCTGCCCTTCTGGTCCATATATTACCTGGTCTGACAAGATGAGCACACAGCGTGTAACATTGCCTCTTCCATAGGTGTTGGTAATTCTATGCACTTGTTTCATTTAATATTTGAAATTCTTTTTACAGGAAAGGTTTTATATAACAGCTCTTACAATACTTTGTCTACCTCATTCATCTGAGGTTCCCTCTGTTACATTTGTGATTGGTTTTTTGTTCCTGCAGCACCATGGGAGTTTCTAAACATGTTGTTCTTTTAAACAAATAGCTTGTAACAGATAGATTTCTACTCCTCATACTTGAGTTCTGAACTCCCAAAGAGATCAGGGTCTATTGTCGGTGTGCTACGTTTTTTTTTTTTTTGAATTTTTGTTTTGGTTTTGAGACCCAGGTTTACTACTGTTTTATTACAGTCCCCAATAGGGCTTTATTTTTTCTTTTCAACATCCTGTTCTGCAACTTCTTTGGCTCTTCTTGCCCTTCTTGGCCATATGCCGAAGAGCCTGGATATGGCACGGGCCATGTGAAGACTAGCACATGCCTTGAAATTCTTTCCTTCCACAGTGCAGGCTTTGGCTTTCTTCTTATAGACATTCTGTATGGGCAGTACTGGCCCTGTCAGCTGGGTGGCCAGTTTGAGTTCTTTAGCAGAACTCTCTCCTCTTGGGGGCTGAGGACTTCCTGGGACAGCGGATGAGCTTGAAGCGGTACTCCCTCAGCTGCTCAACCTTGGCCTGCAGGGACTCAGTGGACTTGTTCTTGTATCCACAGAAATACCAGTGGTCCAGCCACCCTTAACTCTTCTAAGCTGAAGCCCCTGCCAGCTTGTACTTTGGTGTGATCCTCCCCATGGGTTACCTTACTATGAGCTAGATGGATCCAGACACAAGGGTGGGGCAACGTGGCAGCTTTTGCAGGTCTTGCATCTGCCAGGTGGCTGGTTGAACCACACGGCCAGGTAATGATTCCAGTCCTTGTCAAAGTGGGGCTTCAGGGTGATGCCATTCCAGCTGGGCACCATGGCTGCCTACAGCCCTCCATAGCACAGCCAGTGGGAAAGGTGGTGTACTCCTTTTAAACGTGAAAACTTCTAAAAAGCAAATTCTAATTCTGGAGCCCACACTGCCACTATGGAAGGAAAAACTTGTTGGTTAGTGTTCTCTTGGGTTATATGTTGAATCCTTTGGAAAGTACTCATGCTTTTCTTGGTTTTGGAAGGGTGCATGCCTCTGTACCTGAGTCACAGTATCCTGTCAGGATTGAGGAAGAGCACTTCACATAATGAATCTTGGTTGCTTGGGGAAAGTTGTCAGGCAGATAGTTTTTCCCTAAAAGTTGAAGAAGTTTTTAGGCCTTCTCATACAGGGTCTAGATGGTGACTGACAGAAATCATTATGTGGATGCAGTCAGCTGTGGACATAATTTTTCAGAGACTAATCCCTGTTAACTTCCTCTAAACTTATATAAAATTTAGACTCTAATTATCTTGTGCTTGTGTTTCTGCTGATAAGTTTGCTGCTGCTATAACTAGGAACAAAGTCTTTCATGCCACCAGTACAGCAACTTTCAAAGAAGTCCATTAAAACTTTTCATAAGCCTGAGGTGGTGGTTTTTTTTTTTTTTTTTGAGAGAGTCTCGTTTTGTTGCCCAGGCTAGAGTGAGTGCCGTGGCGTCAGCCTAGCTCACAGCAACCTCAAACTCCTGGGCTAAAGCAATCCTTCTGCCTCAGCCTCCTGAGTAGCTGGCACTACAGGCATGCGCCACCAGGCCCAGCTAATTTTTTCTACTTTTGGTAGAGATGGGGTCTCGCTCTTGATCAGGCTGGTCTCAAACTCCTGAGCTCAAACGATCCACCCGCCTTGGGCTCCCAGAGTGCTAGGATTACAGGCGTGAGCCACTGCGCCCGGTCAGAATCACTGATTTTAAAACATGTTCAAGCTTCTCGTCTTAACCCCTTCAGTTGGAGGCATCTCTGCTCTCCTTCTCCTTATCTCATTTGGTATTCCCCACAGACTTCATTGCTGGTAGGGGGTAGAATGTACATTTCCAAGTCAAGCCATACATTTATCTTACCTTTTCCAGGCTCATTTAAGAGGGGTTCATTTTGAGAATAGAATAGGCAGTCACACCGACATCTAAGTACAGAACTAAAAATATGGCCACACGATGTAAAAATGGCACTGTGAATTTTTATTTTCTGTTTTGCATGCTTCTCTCTTTGTGTGGACATTTGGCACGTATTTTAGGCTTCTGCAGCCCTCTAAGACTTTCGCTTGCCATGATGGTGCCTCTGGCACAGCATTACCTGACCTTTCCATACAAACACTCCTCTGTAGGAAGTCTACCGGGCACTCTCTGTGTGTCATTTCAAATTAGCAGGAGAGAGAATATGACCAGCTTAGCGTGGAGGTGGGATTTCCCTAGTTGTTCTGGACTTACAGTGCTGCCCTTTCCAAAGACTCAAGGAGGGGCCAGGTATCCAAAAGGAGGACATGGGTGAGGAGTCAGTGACAGTTTACTTTGACAAAATATAAAGCAGGAGAATTATTATATGGTAGAGATCATGTTCGGGTATACTTTTTCACTATGCTGTTTTTCTCTTAAACACTGTATCTTAAGCTTTTCCTTATGTTATCAAGTCATCAAAAGCACCATTTTAATGATTGTATCAGAATCCATTTGATTGTAACTTATTTAACTATCTGCAGTTGCTGTAGATAGTGCCCTTTCTACTACCACAGATCACTCACCCTTTTGACCTTGTCCTGTGTCCAGTTATCTACTAATACACATGTCATTTAAGACTTTATTTAATGTTAAAATAAGTAGCTGTCATAGTTACACTTCAAAAAGAATATACCTTTCTAAAAATAAGATGGCTTGATAGTTATGAAAATGTTAAAGCAAAATAGATAAATTGATACTGAAATTAATGTTTTACTTTCTTCTTGTATCTGTTTTTCACATTTCCTGTCATTTTGATGGGTGAAGTTTCATTGGGGGAATTTTTATTTCAAATAGACATAACGTGTGACCTATTAGAATGGGAATTCATTGTCTGTCTATTAACTGAAAAGTTCAACTTTCTAGTCAATTAGGTAGTTAAATAATACTGTCACAAAAGTTATCAATATTGGCCGGGCGCGGTGGCTCACGCCTGTAATCCTAGCACTCTGGGAGGCCGAGGCAGGCGGATTGCTCAAGGTCAGGAGTTCAAAACCAGCCTGAGCGAGACCCCGTCTCTACCATAAAAATAGAAAGAAATTAATTGGCCAACTAATATATATAATATAAAAATCAGCTGGGCATGGTGGCTCGTGCCTGTAGTCCCAGCTACTCGGGAGGCTGAGGCAGCAGGATCCCTTGAGCCCAGGAGTTTGAGGTTGCTGTGAGCTAGGCTGACGCCACGGCACTCACTCTAGCCTAGGCAAGAAAGCGAGACTCTGTCTCAAAAAAAAAAAAAAAAAAAAGTTATCAATAGTGAGCCAGGATTGCATGGCTGGCCTTTATTGAGAGTGAGTTAATTAACATTATGTATGCCTTAAATTCTACACTTTGTATCAGATGTAGAAAAATAGGTGGTGTGTTTATAAAGAGTATTGGCTGGCCTAGCAATCAGGAAACCTACACTATTAGTCCCCATTCTGCTCCTTCATCTGAGCCTCCCTGGACAATTAATTCAGCAGCCATTTCTTAAGCACCTAATGAGTTCCAGGCTTTGTACTTGGGCTGGGAATACAAACATGGATCTTGCTTTGGGGGTTCTCCAAGGCTCCTCTTTACCCCAGCTTAAACAGTGAGTTTTCCCATCTGATGTGTGAATTTGCTCATAACAGCACACATCCCTCCCTCTTCAGCCTGCTTCTCAGGGTGGTTGTGAGGATCAAATGAGCCATGGAAATTTATATACAGATCCTTAGAATTTTTAAAAAGTGACACATTAACCTGAGTGACCTGGTTTTGCTTTTAAATAGGTTGAAAGTTTTACTCAGGGACCACTGATATGGTTGAAGATCTTAGCTTGGTTATTCTCCAAGAAAATGAGCACACAGTGGTTTGTGTAATTGATTTTCTAAAATTAACAACCAAAACTCCCCCCACACACACACTCCTTTTTTGAGTTGAATGACTGGATCAAAGGAAGGTTGACTATATAATAGGGAGGAATGGTTTATTGGTTCGCTAACAACTTGCCTTGGCTTGATTCTAGCTGCAGCACATTGTGAGTGATGAGATCTGTGTGCAGGTTACTGATCTTTACCTGGCAGAAAATAATAATGGGGCCACTGGAGGCCAGCTGAACACACAGACTTCAAGGAGCCTTCTGGAATCAACATATCAGCGGAAAGCCGAGCAGCTTATGTCAGATGAGAATTGCTTTAAGGTGAGAGTTGCTCTTGCAGCCAAAGACTTTACTGGTGACAGTATAAATTGTTAGGACTCTCTGAACTAAAAGTTAAAGCCAGAGTACTTTGACCCAGGGATTCCACTCCTAAAGGTTTTTAGAGTTTCTAATGAGCTCATCAGAGAAATACAAAGAATATGGAAAAAGTGAAAGTAACTGTCTCTCCTCTGCCTTTTAAAAAAATTGGTTGTTTATGATTTTTATAATTTTATATTCTTTTTCTCTGAACATTTTTCATATTATAATGCTTTGTAAATATTACTGTTGAAAAATGTTTAGACCAGCCTGAGCAACATAGCAAGACGTCATCTCTACCAAAAAAAAAAGCTGGACATGGTGGAATATACCTGTGGTCCCAACTTCTGGGGAAGCCTAGGCAAGAGGATTGCTGAGCCCAGGAGTTTCAGGTTAAAGTGAGCCACTATACTCTAGCCCTAGGTGACAGGGTGAGACCCTGTTGAGAGAGACAGAAAGAAAATGCAGACAACTATCAATTTTATCTTATTTTTGTTAAAGGGACCAGGTCTCACTCTGTCACCTAGGCTACTAGGCTCAAGGAGTCCTTCCACCTTGGCTTCCCAGAGTGCTAGGATTACAGGCATGAGCCACCACACCTGGTCACTTTATAGAGAATGCCTGTATTGTTGAACAGGTACATTGTTTCCTTTTTCTTTTTTCTTTTTTTTTTTTGAGACAGTCTCCCTCTGTTGCCCTGGCTAGAGTGCATCAGTGTAGCGCACAGCAACCTCAAACTCCTGGGCTCAAGCAGTCCTTCTGCCTCAGCCTCCTGAGTAACTGGGACTACAGGCATGTGCCACCATGACTGGCTAATTTTTTCTATTTTTGGTAGAGACGGGTCTCTCTCTTGCTCAGGCTGGTCTTGAACTCCTGAACTCAAATGATCCGCTCACCTTGGCCTCCCAGAGTGCTAGGATTATAGGCGTGAGCCACTGCACCTGGCCAATGTTTCCAGTTTTTTACCATTATATTATAATGGCTAATCATAAAAGTTGGAAATAACCTAGATGTCCAACCCAGTATGGGAATTGTGTAATGAAAGCCTATCGTGAATACTGTGTGACATATTTTGCAATTCTTAAAAAAGAAAGTAAATTTTAAAATGTGGGAGTTTTTTCCCTTAAATCTATTTTGGAAGTAGCTGTGTTTGTATTCTTGTCAGGTTGTAAATTTTATTATTAGATAGGAATTTTTAAGTCTTCTTTGAAAGAACACTGAGAGCCAGATCTAGCATCTGGTCTTGTGTGCTTATTAACTAGTGAGTGGCCTTGAGAAATCAAAACTCTCTGGGCTTTAGTTTTCTCCTTATGTAAAATGAAAGTTGAGATAAAAAAAATTCTTGAGTTTTTTTCCAGCTGTGTTCTTCTCCTTGTGATTCTAATGATAAATTATCTTGTCTGCAGAAAGCCTTGGGTGAGGCCATTGAGGAAGGTATTGAGTATCCCAGGGTTCTGCAAGGGGAGTCCATCTGCCATCGCCATTGATTATTGTTTTATGCAAAACATGGCTTGTTTGCCTCTATCAGTGTATTGCTTTTAAGTATGGATTATTTTTATTAATCACACAAATAATATTAACAGAACTCATAATTTCAAAAACTTCATATACAATTGGTACTATTAGAATGAAACACTTATTAATATGTTCATTTTTTTGGTTCCTTGTCTCAAGGCACATTTTGATTTCTTGTGTAGTCTTTATTGCAGTATAAATGCACTTGTTCATCTTTGTTGCATTTGGTGTTTTCCATTTAACTTTGGTATGAAGAATTTTCTTTGTTACTTTTTTCTTAATGCATTAGACTTGTTTATATCTTTTCATGAAGTCCTAGAAGTGGGATTATCAATTGAAAAGTCATTGACATTTTATGGTTCTGGCTACATATGCCATATTTCTTATGAACAAAATACTTGTTTTTTAAAGCACTCTTTACTGGCACTGATAATTATTTTAGCTAATTAAAGACATTTGAAACATGAAATGGTACTTTTTGTTCTAACATATTTCACTTTATTGGTAGCAAGATTGGACTTCTGCCATTTTTTTTTAATCACTGGCTTCCCAGGCTTTTGAGTATCTTCCTCATGTCTTCCATTGGAGTGAAGTTTTATAACTTTATTGCCCCTCCACTCCAACCCCTTGAAAAGATATGTTTGGAGATGGCCTGTTGTTTACGCTCAGTTCCTTATTTGCAGCTTATGTTCGTTCAGAGCCAAGGCCAGGTTCAGTTGACCATTGAGCTTCTGGACACAGAAGAGGAGAACTCTGATGACCCCGTGGAAGCAGAGGTATGGGGAAGTATACACAAAGCCCTTATGTTGGTCAGAGCTGGCGTGTCCTGAGAGTTTGCCCAGTCACCTTATCTGCTCAAAGCCTAAGCTACCTTAGGCTTGTTTAAGGATTAGGACCTGGATGCTTCAAGTGTATAGGTCATTGCAACCGTGTCTTCCACTGAATAGCAGGGCTGCCTGGCTACAGATGTTAACCTCATCCTTCACTGAGTGGAGATATCTCCTCTTACGAAGTCTTGTGGTTGGTAGCTTTCCTGTTTTCCTGAAGTATAAGAAGCAACAAGCCGGGCGCGGTGGCTCACGCCTGTAATCCTAGCACTTTGGGAGGCTGAGGCGGGTGGATTGCTCAAGGTCAGGAGTTCGAAACCAGCCTGAGTGAGACCCCGTCTCTACCAAAAATAGAAAGAAATTAATTGACCAACTAAAAAAATATATACAAAAAATTAGCCGGGCATGGTGGCGCATGCCTGTAGTCCCAGCTACTCGGGAGGCTGAGGCAGTAGGATCGCTGAGCCCAGGAGTTTGAGGTTGCTGTGAGCTAGGCTGACGCCACGGCACTCACTCTAGCCTGGGCAACAAGTGAGACTCTGTCTCAAAAAAAAAAAAAAAAAAAAAGAAGCAACAAATGAGGTGCCATCTTCCTAATGTCACCCTGACCCTTTGTGTCATGTTTACTTTTTATTGGGCAGATGAAGCCAGAAGTTCCCAACCCACAGAGTAGATAGAGAAATGTGATTATCATGGTTAACTCTGGCAAGTAATGCAAATAGGAGACATAGGCCATATACATGATATTAGGGCAATATGTGAGGAGACTTGTTTTGTGGGAATATTGGCTTGTGGCTGCCAGATCTTTCAATTTTTTTCTCCCATGAGATGCCAGAAATCCATATTTTAATGTGAAGAATACTGATTTTCAGACATTTGCCACTATACATTCTATTCTAACAAAGCCCTCTATAGGGAAATAAAACTTGTCAGTGAGCCAACTTCTAACCATTTATGACTTCTGATAACTTTAGCATGTCAGAGAAACGTGGTATTGCTAACAGAATTTTTAATCAGTGTTCCAATACCAACTAAAAATCATGATGCCATTATAGAAGGGGACTTTATTGATCTTGAAATTTATCAGTTTCAGACATTTTTGTCATGGGATTTACTGTGCTACCTGATTAGGATGAAGCTCAGTTTTTGTGATTTCCCTCCACCTCTGTTTTGTGTTTACTATCCTAGCGCTGGTCAGACTATGTGGAGCGATACATGAATTCCGATACTACCTCTCCTGAGCTTCGTGAACATCTGGCACAGAAACCAGTATTTCTTCCACGGTAAGTGAGGCAAGTTACCTGTCAGCATTATGTATTTGTACATGGCTGAGGAATGGAGAGTTAAATTATCTTCCGATTCTTGGTTTTCACATATTCTCTTCATTTGTTCTATCTGCTGAGGATGCTATTTCAAGGTTTGTATGGCTGTTACAACATGGGCTTACCTGGAGCATATGTGAAAGCATCAGGGAGGTGAGAGCTCTAAAGAATCGGCAATTACTTCCCTACATTTGATGTGAATGTATGTTGGAGTTTCCAAGTTTTGATGGAGGAGTCGTCACAGGATTCAGCATGTAGTCATACTTGTAACTATGATTTATTACAGCAAAAAGATACAAAGCAAAATTAATTAGCAAAGGGAAAAGGTGCCTGTGGCAAAGTTGGAGGAGGCCAGGCTCAAGCTTCCAAGAGTTCCCTCCCAGTGGAGTCACACGGGACGCTCTTAATCCCTCCAACAACAAGTTGTGACAACACACATAAAATCTTGTCTACCAGGGAAGCTCATTAGAGATTCTATGCCAGAGTTTTTATTGAATTCGAGTCATACAGACACCCTGTGCCTAGCATATACCAAAATTCCAAACTCTCAGAAGGAGAGCAGGTTTCAACATAAGCCAAATAATTTGTACAAAACCTGTTTAGGTACAGTGAGCCACTAACATGATTTAGAGTATGGTGGAAGGTTCCCCCAAATCCAAAATCCCAGACCCCAGCCAAGGGCCAGTCTTACAAGCAGGCCTTTCAAAGAATAGCAGTCTTAGTCCTGCTATGTTAACTCCCCCTCCGCCGCCTTTTTTTGAGATGGGGTCTTTAGTGCAGTGGCATCATCATAGCTCACTGCAACCTCAAACTTCTGGTTCAAGCGATCCTCCCACCGCAGCTTTCTGAATAGCTGAGACTACAGGTGCACACCACCATGCTCGGCTCATTTTTCTATTTTTTCTTGAGATGAGGGCTTGCTGTGTTGTTGCTCAGGCTGATGTTGAACTCCTGGCCTCCCAGAGTGTTAGGATTATAGGCATGAGCCTCCACACCCAGCCTGTTAACTGTTTTCTGCACAGAATTTTAAAAAATTTTCCTCCTATATATAGGGAATTTGTTATGCTGATCCTTTCAGTATGAAAATGAATTTCAGAAGTAGAAAATAGATGGAGTAGCTTTCTTCTTTCTAAACTTTTAAGTTTAGAATTGAAATTTCATGTCTTTTTTTTTTTTTAACTTATCTGTATTTGTTATAAGCTTTAAATGGATTGTGACTCGGGCACTACATTTCTATTCACAAGCCTCGCTTTTCAAAACAGTTTTATAACACGTATGGGTAGGACTTATACTTTTGCTCCTCTAAACAATACTTCTTTGGAAAAGAAGCCCTGTGTAGAGTTTCAAGTTGCTTTACTTTAAATATACTTATTTCTAGAGGACTAGTATTATATGCAGAAAATCTAATGTCTTATGTTTCCAAAATGTTGTCATCCCAGTATTACTAAACTTAGTCCTCTAATGAGAACATGGAGAAAGGATACCAGCAAAGAGAGCCCTGTGAGGTTCTCCATTAATTGATTCGATTTATAATCTGTATTGCAGAGATATGCACAGGGAGGCACTCTAATATACTGTAAGAAAAAACAAATTGATGCAGTCATTCTGAGGACAGTTTAATGTGTAGACCAGGTGTCCTCAAACTACAGCCCCATGGGCCACATGCCGCCCACCTAGGACATTTATCCAGCCTGCCAGTTGTTTTTGCCACCGCTGCCTATCTTGCTTAGCAGCCAACTCGTCCTGGGCCCACAGTGCGCACTCTCCAACGGTCTCAGGGACAGTGAACTGTGGCCCCCTGTGTAAAAAGTTTGAGTACCCCTGGTGTAGACCGTTCACCCTACAACTTCAGTTTCTAATGATTTTTCTCTCTTACACTTAAGATTCTCAGTCTTTTGGGCCTTGAGACCCCTTAACTTACACTTTTAGAGCTTGAGTATTCCAGAGAGCTTTTATTTATGTGGGTTGTTCTAGTAATATTTATCATGTTAAAAATTAAAGCTCAGGCCAGGCACAGTGGCTCATGCCTGTAATCCTAGCACTCTAGGAGTCTGAGGAAGGCAGATCGCTCGAGGTCAGGAGTTCGAAACCAGCCTGAGCAAGAGCAAGACCCGTGTCTACTAAAAATACAAAGAAATTAATTGGTCAACAAAAACCATATGTAGAAAAAATTAGCCAGGCATGGTGGCGCATGCCTATAGTCCAAGCTAATCAGAGGCTGAGGCAGAAGGATTGCTTGAGCCCAGGAGTTTAAGGTTGCTGTGAGCTAGACTGACGCCAATGGCACTCAAAAGAGTGAGACTCTGTCTCAAAAAATAAAAAATTTAAAACAAACTGGTAACTGGATATTCTTTGATATGACATCAAAAGTCTGCCAGTGGTAGTTTATTAAAGACTACTTGCAATATGAATTGAAATATTAATGAGCTTTTCATACAGTTGTCAAAATCCATTGGCTTATCTTGTACTTTGAATCTTTTCATCCATGATTTTGTAACTTCATGCAATTGGTGGTTTGGAAACTACTAGCTCATTAAGTTATGCATACCTACTAAATGTTGACACATTTTACAATGCCTCTCCCCAAAACTCATTCATTAGTGTCACCATTGATCTTATCAAACACCATCTTCAAGTATTGGGAAGCTGTCAAGCTCCAGTCTGCTGATACCAGTTTTACAAAAATTCCTAGTTTTGCTTGAAAATTCAATTCTTATCATTGGCAACATTGTTTTCCTTGGAGTGATAGGTCTCTTATTCATTTTTGAGAAAATATCTGCCAATTCTTGGCCAAAGCTAAGTTTAGTCATTCTTTTGGGTAAAAATGGTGATCCATTTATAACTCACGCAATTGCTCAAGTGCTTTTCTTCAAGAATACCATTGTACTCTATTACACAAAGGTACTTTATATGTAGTTGTATTTTATCATATAGCATGGTAAAAAAGATGTGAACTAAGGGGATTGGATTTAATAAAAAATGTTACTGCTTCATCAGAGACATTCTTAAGTGAAAGTGGCTTTTTCACTTAATGTCAGTGGATGGTCAGATTTTTTTTTTTTTTTTTTTTTTTGAGACAAAGTTTCTGTTGCCCGGGCTAGAGTGCCATGGTGTCAGCCTAGCTCACAGCAACCTCAAACTGCTGGGCTCAAGCGATCCTACTGCCTCAGCCTCCCGACTAGCTGGGACTACAGGCATGCACCACCATACCCAGCTAATTTTTCCATATATATATATATTAGTCGGCCAATTAATATCTTTCTATTTATAGTAGAGATGGGGTCTCGCTCTGGCTCAGGCTGGTCTCGAACTCCTGACCTCGAGCAATCCGCTTGCCTCGGCCTCCCAGAGTGCTAGGATTACAGGCGTGAGCCACCGTGCCCAGCTGTGGTCAGATTCTTTTTTTTTTTTTTTTTTTGAGACAAAGTTTCTGTTGCCCGGGCTAGAGTGCCATGGTGTCAGCCTAGCTCACAGCAACCTCAAACTGCTGGGCTCAAGCAATCCTGCTGCCTCAGCCTCTGGAGTAGCTGGGACTACAGGCATGTGCCAGCATGCCTGGCTAATTTTTTCTAGATATATTAGTTGGCCAATTCATTTCTTTCTATTTATAGTAAACACAGGGTCTCTCTCTTGCTCAGGCTGGTTTTGAACTCCTGACCTCGAGCAATCATCCCACCTCGGCCTCCCAGAGAGCTAGGATTACAGGCATGAGCTACCAAGCCCGGCCTATGGTCATATTCTAATACAAAGATTTCAAAGTACAGTTTGGTGCCCCCACAGCATTTTTTTTCATCGTTACTTTTACCCTGCCAGTGCAAGTGTAAATACAGTGAAAAAGGCAAATTATGTTTTAGTATTATGAAACAGTTTTATCCCACAGATGTCCTGAAAGGGTCTCAGGGATGCCCAAGCATCCTTAGACCACAGACTTACTGTCCTATAAAAATACATGTAGACAAAGATACTCAATGAAGCAATGTTTTTAATAGCAAAGTACGGGAAGCAATAATCGTCGAGTGGATAGCCCTGCTCCACTGGATGTGGAAGAGATTCAGTACCTGCCCCTAGGGAACCAGTGATTATGAATTATCTTCTTTCCTTCTTGTGTAGAATAGTCCTAATTTATACTGTCTTTGGAAGAATTTTTAAAAATAGGCATTCAGATAATTTTATGTGTTTCAGATGAGAACCCCAGTTGAGAGAGGCTGTTAAGGAATGATTTAATTGGGGTGCATTCCTCTGCAGCAGTTAAAAGAGAATGAGACAAATTTATGTAGTGAAATTTAAAAAGTCCTCATGACATTAAATGAAAAGTCGAGAATAAAATACATAGTATGAACCAATTTTGTCTTAAAAACAAATTCCAAAGTAGAACTATAGTAGGTAATTACATATGTAAATTCACAGACAGAGGTCCAGAAGTTTTGTATTAAAACTGCTAACAAGTGGCTACCTTTACCAAAGCAAGTAGGATTTGGAGAAGTGGGAATAGGGGATTTGTTGAAGATTTCTGCTTTCCTATGTATCTTTGCAGTTGAAACGTTTTTACGATGAAACCATTAAACATTTTTGTATGTATGTAACTAATAAGGAAAACTCATTTGCTGGGAGTCACAGCAATCTCTCTGGACAAGCTCTCATCCTGTAGGGCTCTTCTGCTCTGTAGGAATCTTCGGCGGATCCGGAAGTGTCAGCGAGGTCGAGAGCAGCAGGAAAAGGAAGGGAAGGAAGGAAACAGCAAGAAGACCATGGAAAATGTGGATAGCCTGGATAAGCTAGAATGTAGATTCAAGCTGAATTCCTACAAGATGGTGTATGTGATCAAGTCAGAGGACTACATGTACCGGAGGACTGCCTTGCTCCGGGCTCATCAGGTGAGAACCAGAAACTGTAATTTCTCCACACATCTCTCTCCCCAGCTAGGACCAGGGAGGCCTGGTGTGTTCTGATTGTTTCTCCTTCTTTATGAAAACCTATTTTTGGAGCTGAGAATTATTGAGAAAGCACATTTGTTTGCTAAGGATTCCATAACAAAGTACCACAGATTGGCTTAAACAACAGGTATTTATTGTCTCATATTTTAGGAGGCTGGAAGTCCAAGATTAGGGTGTTTACAGTGTCAGTTACATCTGAGGGCTGTGAGGGAGAATGTGTTCAGGTCTCTCCCAGCTTCTTATGCGTTGTTGGCCATCTTTGGCATTCCTGGGCTTGTAAATCCCTGCCTTTATCTTCATATGGTTCCTGTGTGCGTGTCTGCATCCAAATAAGCTCACATTCTGAGTATTGTGAACTAGGACTTCAACATATAAATTTAGAGGGGGGTTGGGGATACAATTCAACTGATAAGAACAGGTAAATACCTGGTAGTACCTTTTGATAAAGCTACTCTCAGCATTTACATTTCAGGCAGTAGCTGATCTTTGGCACATATGAATCCTATTTTCATGTTACATCTCAATTTCGAAATCTTCTTGGTAGTTATGTACCACATGTTGTGCCAGGCCCTGGGACTACCACCATGAAATAGAACAAATAAGGTAATGTGATGTGCACTACCAAAGAAACAAATCAGATGAAGTGATCAAGGGTAACTGGTGTGCAGGCATTGCTTTCATTGGAGGAGGCTTCTGTAAGGAAGTGATGCCTGAGGCCTGAATAATAACAAGGAGCTGTCCTGGTGAAAAGTTGAGGGCAAAGAAAACAGCAAGTGCAAGACTGGGAGAGAGGAAAGGACTTGGCATGTTCGAGAAACTAAAATCACCATTCTGGCTCAAAGTTGCCTTCATGCCTTCTATGAAGTTAGAAGGATAGACAGAGGCCACATTACTTTGTCTTGTAGGCCTTGGTTTGGATTTTGTCAGAGGTACTTTGAGACATCATTGACAAAGATAGCTTAGACTTAGGACTGCTATGAGTAGAAGGGGAGGGGGTGGGTATGGGTACAGAGTTGAAAAACACTCAAAAGGCTCCCCTTGTCCAAATGAGATTTGATGGCCATCCATACTACTAGGATGACAGTAGAATTGTAGATATATTTTAGAGATAGCTGGGCATGGTGGCTCATGCCTGTGATCATAGCACTCTGAGAGACCAAGGCGGGAGGATCGCTTGAGCTCTGGAGTTCAAGACCAACTTGAGCAAGAGTGAGACCCCGTCTTTATTAAAAATAGAAAAATTTAGGCCGGGCGCGGTGGCTCACTCCTGTAATCCTAGCACTCTGGGAGGCCGAGGCGGGCGGATTGCTCAAGGTCAGGAGTTCAAAACCAGCCTGAGCGAGACCCCGTCTCTACCATAAAAATAGAAAGAAATTAATTGGCCAACTAATATATATAATATAAAAATCAGCCGGGCATGGTGGCTCGTGCCTGTAGTCCCAGCTACTCGGGAGGCTGAGGCAGCAGGATCCCTTGAGCCCAGGAGTTTGAGGTTGCTGTGAGCTAGGCTGACGCCACGGCACTCACTCTAGCCTAAAAAAAAAAAAAAAATAGAAAAATTAGCTAGGTGTGGTAAGGCATATCTGTAGAGTCCCAGGTACTTGGGAGGCTGAGGCAGGAGGATCGCTTGAGCCCAGGAGTTTGAGGTTGCGGTAAGCTACAATGACACCACTGCACTCTACCCAGGGTGACAGAGAGACTCTGTCTCAAAGAAAACAAAAAATTAGAGATCTAATTGATAGGATATGATGCTGGATCAATGTGGGGGAGGTAAGCAAAGGATGATCCCTGACTGATTTTTGGATTGGTGAGTTTTTTGTTTCTGCATAAGTGGAAAGTTTAGGGGTTCATCTGATAAATAGGAAAGGGTTACAGGGGGTTTCAGGGGCAGGTGAAACACTCTATTTTGAACTCATTAAGTTTGAAAGAACTAGGAAATATTCAAGGGAGAGATGTTGGGCAAGCAGTTTAATGTACAGTTGACCCTTGAACAACACAGGGCTTGGGGTGCTGACCCCTCTCCCACCCCACCCCATCCCATGTATAACTTTTGACACCCCAAAATCTTTAACTAATAGCTTACTGTTGACCAGAAGCCTTACCAATAGTATAAACATTTTATTAACACATATTTTGTATATTGTATGTATTATATACTATATTCTCATAGTAAGGTAAGGTAGAGAAAAGAAAATGTTAAGAAATTACTATTCATTAAGTGAATGGGGATGGTCATGAAGGTCTTCAATTTCATCATCACATTGAGTAGGACAAGGAAGAGGAGGAATGAGTAGGAGGAGGCTGGTCTTGCTGTCTCGGGTGGCAGAAAGTTTGTATATACATCGCTCCATGTAGTTCAAACCCTGTTGTTTGTCAGCTGTACTTCTTTCATTGCACTGAGTGTAACTGCTGTGTGTTGTCTGTCTGCATATCTCTGATTTAAATTCTTTGAGGAGCTAGACAACACCAATTTTATCTTTGTATCCCCTACTATACCTTGCACGTGGGCTCCAGTGAATACTTGCTGAGTGCATAGGTGGGAACATAATGCTCCACTGAAGACCTGCTGTTCCTGGACTCTGCTGGCCAGGGTGGGGTAATACAGTGAAGGGAGAGTGGGTGTTAAGCCTTTTGCCTCACACTGTCTTTAGAAGTGAATTTTACCATGCTAACAGAAATGACCAATGGCTGTGGCTTATTGTGTCTCACCCAGGATACATTAGAATCAGCTGGGTTGCTGGTTTAAAATGCAGATTGGTAACATGTTCCCCAGGTTATACCGATGTATGCAAAAATTGAACAGTGAGCTTGTTCTCAGAGCCTACGTTGGCATTTCTTGGGGGGCTTTATAGGTTTTAATTTCTCCTGTTGAATATAGAACATTCAAACATGCTATCTATGTTCTTACCTCTTTCAGTTTTTCTCTTTAAACAGAATCCTTTTTCCTTCCTTTTTGTTTTTTTAAAACTAACTAGTAGTATCTAAGACTTGAGTAGTCCACATCTTTGCTACTTTAGGAAAAAATTGGGCTTTGTATTTGAAGGGCTTTTTTGGTCCTACTTATTTTTATTTATTTATTTATTTTGTCCTCTTCTGTTTTGCAGTCCCATGAGCGTGTAAGCAAGCGTCTACATCAGAGGTTCCAAGCCTGGGTAGATAAATGGACCAAGGAGCATGTGCCCCGTGAAATGGCTGCAGAGACCAGCAAGTGGCTCATGGGTGAGGGGCTGGAGGGCCTCGTGCCCTGTACCACCACCTGTGATACAGAGACCCTGCATTTTGTGAGCATTAACAAGTATCGTGTCAAATATGGCACAGTATTCAAAGCCCCTTAACTGCAAAGCCAGAGCAGATAACTTGAGGGTGTGTGTGTGAGCATGTGCACTCTGCTCACACACATTGAAGAAACAAGGAAGATGCCTTTCAAGCCTCACTGGGCCTCTCTGGGACATGGCCACCTGATCTGTATGTGGCTGGTGCAAATTGGCACTAAGTGGGCTACCTTTAAGAAACATGAATACTTTATAAAGTTGGAGCTGGAACTTTTCCCAAGGGGGTTTAGGTATTAGCCTGCCCTGGAAGGGAAGGAAATCCATCCAAGCACAGAGACAAGCAGCTTGCTTGCACACACCAGCAGAGCTAAGACTGGAGTCTCCTGTGGCCTGACCTTCAATGAGGGAACTGGATGCTGTTCATATTTGGCTGGATGGAGGTGCTGGGGAAGGACTTAATGCTCAGATGGATTGTAACTGTGATGGTCACTGCTCCTCTCCTCTACCCAAAAAGGAGAAGAAAAAAAAAAACTGGATTTGATTTTTTTGTTGTTGTTTTCCCAGTCACCTGAGCACATTTAAGATCACCCATTAGGTTTTACCTGGGATCTGCAGTTTGGCTTTGGAATTGATCATCTTGTGGATTTGATTCCTGATGAATCCCTTGCTGCCCACCCTTTCTCTCCTTTGGTTCTCAACCTCAAGTTCAAATCAGTCAACCTTTTTAGCTCCCGTGGAACTGTTTTGTACCTGCTTCTTTACTAGTCTACCCTAGTGCCATCCACCAGCTTTACTCTCTGACACACACACACACACACACACACACACACAATTTTAACTTCATTTTTCTTTTTTTGTAAATAATGTACATACTGTCAATTTTTTATTAAAAGAAATATGCTTTGATGTGCTAGCATAACCGCTCTAGCTTCTTGTGTATCATAGTACTATGTGGCTTCAGATTTAGTACCTATGAACAGATGTACAAGACATTTATTACACTTTTTACCAAAGGGAGTTACCATTGTAGTACTTTTGTGTAAAACTTGTCTTCCCCCCTTTACCCTCAACTTTTTTTTCTTTTTTTTGTAAATAAATAAAGCTTGGTTCTTACTTAAGGAATAAACAACCCAAGTCCCTTGTCCTTACAAGAGAACTATCATGAAGCAGGGAATTTGGCTTCAGTTCCTTATCCAGGGTACAAACAGGATTTTACTTTAAATAATTAAGTCATTTGCACTTGTCCCAAATCAAAATATTCCAGAATTTTGATATAGAATACTTCCATTCTTTTAGTACATGGTTTTTTTCCTTGTTCAGCTATTTGAATATATTTTATATTTGGGTAAGTTGTCAAGCTGTATAGTTTGTATTTCTATATATTTTTTCTTATCCTTATTGGGCATGGGGTGAACAACTTAAATACCAAGCCAGTATTTGAAAGAAATGTATATAAGGTGTGTGGTATAAATGGGGTTGGGAGGGAGAGGATTTGATACATTTCCTTAGTAATTGCACATGGGATATATATTTTTTTAATTACATAAATTTAAACTGGCAGACAGTTAAACATGAGTGATTTAGGATTTTTATATGTGGTTAGCCTGGACTTTTTAAACAAAGACCAATGGAGTCCTTCCCAGTACTCTGGTGGATTTTTCTCCAGCTATTACCCTAGTTATAGTTGTAACTGACAGTGTTTTATGTGTTTTGTTTTTTTAAGTAAAACCCCCATCACTGAAAAGAAAAACAAATTTTTTGGCTCCTGGACTTTGAAAACACATGGTAGACTGTTCTGATTTTAAGCATTTCTGTTGTAGGCAGACAGAAGACTGTGGGTCACAGTATAGCATGGCAAAGTCTTGTGGGAGAGGGAGATTCTAGGGCAAAGCTGGGACAGTGCCTAACGTGGAGGTAGAGTAATAATGTACTCAGTGAGGGAAGAGATCTTGAGGTGTTCTAAGCAACAATTCTGTCCCCCTGTGCTCCCTCAAGAAAGATGTTGACCTGGAACTACAGGGAAAATTGATGAGGTGTGACCAGGGGCAGCCCTAGCTGTTGCTCCCACCCAGCCCCCTGCTTCCCCCACACAGTGTTAGCTCCAGAGCACCTGCCTGCAGGTCAGGATGATAGGATTTCATGGAGAACTCCCCCCCCCAACCCACCAATGCAACCAACCGAAGAGGGAGCTTTACCTGCAGCCAGGGTTTCACAAGCAGCACTTTTATTCTTCTGCTGTCTGACATGTAAGCTCCAAGCTCAAAACCCAGCCTGCATTATATACAGCAGAAAGTTATCTTTATTTTAAATCACATTTGGTATTCTGTACTTAGTCACTTTTCCATGTGATTGGCATTTGAAATGTTGTAACTTGGTCAGTATTTCCATTAAAATATCAGGGCTAATGTTGTGTACATATTTTTTTTCTTCCTAATGATTTTATAGACAAGGACTCTGGCAACCCCAGGAGGAAAAAAGTAAAGCTGCCTGTGGAATACTAGGTATGAGAATGAAATTGGAGGTCTGTTTCTGGCATTAGGGCTTCTCTGGACTCTACAGACCTGTACGGTGAAATTACAGGGAAGATTCTATAGGAATCTTCAAAGCTGTGACCATGATCTGCTATCTCAAATCTTTGCAGTTTCTGGTGATGGGCAGGAGTTAGCAACATGCACATAAATTAAAATGTGTAACAAAGGAAGCTAGGGTCACTGGAGCTTATCCTTTCTGCTCTTTAACACCATATCCTCCAATCAGTATGAAAACACGCATCCCGGGCGGTCTGGCTCTTTCCACGTTAAGCAGACACCAGTTTTTGTGTTCAGGGACGTAGCCTGAGCTAGTGAGTGGTCTCTGATTGCTGTTTCTGAGGCTGGGTCTGCAGCAGCCAAGGTTTCTGCCCGTTCTGCTGAATGGTCCGTAGTCTCTGTCCCCGGACCTTTGGGGGCTTTAATCGTCAAATTTCCCATTTTATCTAGGGATTTACCCTGTACCCAACTAGCTTGGACGAGAAAGGAGAGCCTCCAAAATGCAGCTTCTAGTGTTCAACTCCTGGCTCAAAATTAAGACCAGCTGGGCTTCCAAGAGCCGCCTGTGTTGCAAGAAAAGCTGCCCGTGGCTGGAAGGCGCCCTTCAGATGCCGGAACCTTTGGTTTCAGTCGGTGTACCGCGCCGGCAATGCCAGGGTCCTTCCGGGGAGGAGCTGGGCGCGGCGATGGCGGGGGCGCCTGCTCTGAAGCACTGGCGCACCACGCTGGAGCGGGTGGAGAAGTTCGTGTCGCCGCTCTATTTTACCGACTGTAACCTCCGCGGCAGGTGTGGCCCCTAGTCTGGGGAGCCGTCCGGGGGGAAGCTAAGGTGCCGCCACGCGGGCCGCGGGACCAAGTGCCCGCCGCGGACAGGGCAGGGCCCGGGAGGAAGGGGTAGGGATGGGGTGTGCTGTGGGCCGCCAGGCAGCCCTCAGCGGCGGATCGCGGGAAAGCGCGGCCGCACCGGCCGGCTGGCCCAGGGGCGGAAAGGGGAGGCCTCGGGCGCGCGCCCACCGGCTCCTCCCGCCCAGGCTCTTTGGGGAAAGCTGCCCAGTGGCCGCGCTCTCCTGCTTCCTGACGCCCGAGAGGCTTCCCTACCAAGAGGCAGTCCGGCAAGACTTCAGCCCGGCGCAGGTCGGCTACAGCTTCGGACCGACGTGGGTAACACCGAGCAGGAGGGAGGGGCTAGCGGGCCTAAGGGAGGGCCACACCCATACCTGGCACCCTACCCTGCCCCGGCCACGCCTTTTTTTGTTGGCCACCTGCACCAGACAGCTACAAGGGGTGGACCAGCACCCTCTGCTGGGAACAGCACCCAGCGTCTTCAGGGGAGAGTTTCCATCCTGCCATCCCTGCAGTCTGCACACTCTTTAGGAAGGGCACCTGAGATCGGATCATGGAACCCTGACTTATCTGCCTCTTCGCCTCACCTTGCTGCCCAGCCCTTGTTCTTATCTTGTGGCTCAAAGCTGAGTCCCTTTTGATGCTACAGATTCTTGGAGAAAGTCTCAAGCTCTTGCTGATCTTTTAACCCAAGGAAGTATTTCAGGACAGGGTTTCCACCTCTCAGCCCATCACAAGGGCTCTCTTGCAGATGGTGGACCTGCTGGTTCCGGGTGGAGTTGACCATCCCAGAAGCATGGGTGGGCCAGGAAGTTCACCTTTGCTGGGAAAGCGATGGAGAAGGTCTGGTGTGGCGCGATGGGGAACCTGTCCAGGTGAGGAGCCCTACCCTAAGGTCAGATGTGACCACTGTAAAGCCCTCATCTCTGGAGTAGCCATAGCTGAGTGGCTCTGTCTGCAGGATGATGTCAGGATTTCAGTACTGGGGAAATTGCCACTTGGGGCATCTGTGTAATTGGTCCCTAGTTTTCAATAAACCAATTTTTATTGTATGTAATTCATGCTTGTGGGGAAAATTGTTTCAAACAGTTCTAGATAGTAGGAAGTAAAAATTTTAACTCTTCTTGCCCTGAAGTAATGAATCTCTCCCTACCACCCCATCCCATTCCCCAAATATAACCACTGTTAAGCATCTTGTTCATGCATCCAACCATATCAGGTTTAATCCTTACAATCCTTTGTGACAGGTCTTTATGCCCACTTACAGATTAAGAAACTAAGATATATCAAGGTTAGTTTACTTGCTCAGGTTCACACAGCTTCCATTTCGAATTGGACTGACTCTCAACCTGGGGTTAGGACTGTTCTTTTGTGTGAAAAAAGAAGGCACAGCCATTCTCTCCCTCCCTCTGGCTCAGTACATGTCTCATGGTGGTTATTTTGAGCTAGACCCTGTGCTAAGCACTGGGGATGTAGCAGGTAATGAGGCGAACCTATCCTGACTTTATAGAGTTTCCCTTCAGATATTTATTGAGGAGTGAGTGCAGAGGCCACCAGAAGCCACACCCAGGCCTCCTAATTCCTGTCCATGGCCCTTAAAGACCATGGGCTTTCCCACTGGAAAACAAGTATTATTTGGTGGTCATGGTGCTGGCTGCTGTGGGAGGTGGGGCACCTGCTACCAGGGGTCTCTGATTTGTCAATCTTGGCCCTGCTTGGGAAAGAGGACCCAAAGCTAGGGACCAGATGGAGAGGCCTGACTTCCCTTGGATTAGGCTTCACCTAAAGTGTCCAAAGGCCTTAGGTCCCATATTTCTCTCCATTCCCTGCCAGAGTTTGACCAAAGAGGGTGAGAAGACCAGCTATATCCTGACAGACAGGCTCGGGGAAGGAGACCTCCGAAGGTGGGTGAGTCCGTATGCGATGGTATGCCAATACTGTGGGGGAGGGGTGCCAGCAGGCAAAGGGGACTGAGGCCTAGAGTGATCCCAGGAGTGACCCCACCTCCAGCACAGCTGTCCTCAAATCTCACAGTTTATTTTTAGAAAACATGTTTTTTTCCTAACTATAAAAATTATGTTTGCTTTATTGTGATAAATACAGAAAACTCAAAGAAGTGAATAACTACTATTATCTCACCACTTAGAGTAGAGATGACCATTATTATCATCTCAGCATTCATGTTCTTAGTATTTCAGGCATAGTTTTCACTAGTTGAGATCGTATTTCTTTGATATTTTGCATCTTGACTTTTTACATTCCGTATTATACCATGGGCATTTTATGATATCGTCAAAAACATTTTTTAGACATTAGTATATTTTACATTTTATTGGACACTGTGTTCGAGATGTCTCCAGACACTAGGAATAATGGTGTTGAATGATGTTGTCCTTGTCAGCAAAGGGAGACAGATCTACTCATATGATCACAAAACTGATGAGGGCCCTGAAAGAAAATTCTGGGAGCTAGATATGAGGAATCTGTTCTAGACTTAGCAGATGGGGAGGGGAGAAAGCTTCCCTGAGGAAGTCTGAGTAGAGTGGCACCACAACTGCCCGGGCTTCTCCAGTGAAAGGCCCACCCTATGTTGACTGATGGATCTAGGGTCTAGCAGGTCTAGCCTGGGAGAGCCAGAGGTGCTTTTAATATGCAAAGAGGGTTTCCAGACCAAGGCAGTGCCCTGCAAAGACAGCTTGGGAAATAGAAGGCTAAACGGCAGTGTAATTCACACAGTTCCACACTTTGTTACTTATTTTCCCTGACTGAGGCAGACCACTCATCAGCAGGATTCAGTCTGATATTTGTACCTCCCACCCGTGTGCACAGCTGACACACTGTGGGATCCTCTGGGGGGTGGATCCTGGAGACGAATGGGGAGGGGTCAGATGCATGCCTCCTGGGTGCGCCTCCCTCAGGTCCCCAGAGTCCTCTGCCAGTTCCTTGTCCTGAGGCTGCCTCCTCATGTTTGTAGCCTGACCCTCTATGTGGAAGTGGCCTGCAATGGGCTCCTGGGGGCTGGGAAGGGAAGCATGATTGCAGCCCCTGATCCCGAGAAGACATTCCAACTGAGTCGGGCTGAGCTGGCCGTGTTCCACCGGGATGTCCACAAGCTCCTGGTGGATCTGGAGCTGCTACTGGGCATAGCCAAGGTACTTGACACACCTGTTCTCCCCGAAACCCCCCAGATCCCTGCTGTAGGCTGGTTGTTTCTTGGGTCAGATAAGTGAGACTCAGAATCCAGAGCAGGAAAAGGGTTCCTGCCTAAGGGTTGAGAGGACTTTCCTGTGTAAAGGGGAGGTGGAGCCAGTGCTGAGCAGGGGCCAGCAGGAGCAAAGGGATGGAGGTGGGGCATTCTGCTGAACACCCCTGGGGAACCCCCCCCCAAGCTCTGGAGGCCATGCTCAGAAGAGAATTAAGGGGCAGAACCTTGCTGCAGGGTCTCGGGGAGGACAACCAGCGAAGCTTCCAGGCACTGTACACAGCTAACCAGATGGTGAATGTGTGTGACCCTGCCCAGCCCGAGACCTTCCCAGTGGCCCAGGCCCTGGCAACCAGGTTCTTCGGCCAACGTGGTGGTGAAAGCCAGCACACCATCCATGCCACAGGGCACTGCCACATTGATACAGGTAGGCCGGCAAGTGGTTGGGTTGGCTGGAGGGGCAGGAATGCCCTTGAATCCCTGGTTGTGCCTTAGAAGCACTGCGTGATCCTCAGCAAGTTCTTGCCCCACTTCAGCCTCAGTTTTTCCCATCTGTAAGATGGAGCAGGGAGACTGGACTGTGGGCTTTGTTAGCTATGGCTTCATTTGTTCTTTTGACAAAATCTGATGCCTCATGAGGCCCCATGCTATTAATAGATACTGGGGGGTAGGATTCCAGAGATTGGTGATCATAGAATTGGCAGGCACAGTTGGTGCCACAGTGAGGGTAAGTGTGGGGGGCTAGAGAGCCCAGAAGAGTCACCCAACCCAGCTGGATTAGGGGGATTCCAGAGAGGCTTCCTGGACAAGGTGACCTTGAACTGAGCAAGAATGGGCAGGAGTGTGCAAGGGCACCCAAGTCCTCAGAGAGGAGTGCTGTGAAATTATTGAAATGGGGGCTCAAACGCATGGGTGGGTTTCCTGGGAAGCATCGGGAGTTCAGTTTTGTGCGTGAAGAATCTGCAGTGTCTGTGAGGCTTATGAGAGAGCCGCGTGTTCAGCTTCCCAAGGTGCTGAGTGTGATGCGGGTGAAGTCTCTGAAGCACAGAGTAAGGACTTTCTCCTCTGTGCCAAGATGTGGGGTAGGGTGTGGGGCTTCTAGGCTGGTAAGGAAGGAACTGCCTAGGGCCAGGAGAGGCTGTGGTGCCCGCAGGACAGCTAGGCCAGACAGGTCCATCCTGGGAGCTGCCCCTGTTGCAGGGAGTCCTCAGCACGTGTAAGGGCAGGGCAGTTCCTGCTGCCTCTGACGCGATCCTCTGGAGGGCATGTCAGCCTCAGACTAAGGCCATCCCCCAGCCAGGGGCCTCTGTTTCCTGACCTGTAAAATGGACCCTGCTGGCCTCCTTTCTCCATTTCTTCCTCCTGCCTTGCAAGGGTGGTTTGAAGTGACAGCTTAGGAAGGATGCCACAGGCTTTTCCAGAGTGAAGGGCTGGGGACAAGAGGAGGGAATAGGTGACCCTAGGCCTGGTCAGGATGCCGGGGCAGGGGTGGGGCTAGAGACCTGTCAGGACCTTGCCGCTCCCTCCACCCCCATCTAGCCTGGCTTTGGCCCTTCAAAGAGACCATAAGGAAATGTGCCCGGAGCTGGGTGACAGCTGTGCAGCTCATGGAACAGAACCCCAAGTTCATCTTTGCCTGCTCCCAGGTCAGTGGGACAGCTGTGTGGGGCGGGGGGCACCTGGCACTCCCTGGGGCTCAGTAGGCTCTGAGGGCTTCTCAGGCCTGAGGGGCAGGTCTGTTCCCCACCCTCAGGCACTCACTGGAGCCCAGATGTTCGGCCCTGGGTGGGGTCCTCATCACTCCTGGCTCAGGTCCCACCCATCTGCCCCACAGGCACAGCAGCTCGAGTGGGTGAGGAACCACTACCCCGGTCTGCATGCCCGGCTCCAGGAGTTTGCCTGCCGTGGGCAGTTCGTGCCTGTGGGGGGCACCTGGGTGGAGATGGTAAGTGTAATGGCACTGCCTCAGCCTCAGTCCATACGGTATGGCCTTCCCTTGTGTGGCCCAGGCCCCTCCTCGGCTGTGCTGGTGACCTGCGGGCCATCCACACCATCTGTGGCAGGGCTCATTAGTCCCTGGAACCCCAAGGCTTAAGAGTCCAAGGGCAGGGAGGGTCTCCAGCACCATGACAGGCTGGCTGCATGGCCAGTCCCGGACACCTCTCTCAGGCAAATGGACAGTCAGGCCTGAATCGAGGAGAGGGACACTTCCTGGCACCTGGCTATAATCCTGTGTCAGAGCAGCTCTGGCTTCTCCTGCAGGGAATTGGGCTGGCCTGAGCTCCTGCCTCTCTCTTCCCTCACTGCCAGGATGGGAACCTGCCCGGTGGAGAGGCCATGGTGAGGCAGTTCCTGCAGGGCCAGAACTTCTTTCTGCAGGAGTTTGGGAAGATGTGTTCTGAGGTAGGCTGGGAGCTGCTGCACTGGGCTGTGGGCCAGGGGGGGTGGGGGGCTGAGGGGCTGAGGCTGGGGTGGCTCCACCTAGAACCCTGGTTTCCAGCCTCCCAGAGCCCTCTCCCCTCCAGTTCTGGCTGCCAGACACGTTCGGCTACTCAGCACAACTCCCCCAGATCATGCGTGGCTGTGGCATCAGGCACTTTCTGACCCAGAAGTTGAGCTGGAACTTGGTGAACTCCTTCCCGGTGAGCAGACCCAGGGGGTCAGGGTCAGAGTTGGCCTCGGTCCCACATGGCCCATTCACTTCTCCCAGGGTTTATTTGAGGAGTCCCAGACAGATCACCAAACCCCCATCCAGAGGGGATGGGCCTTCAGCAAGGTTGAACAGCAGGGAGGGGCAGTACAGAGTTTGCCTCAGCCCTGACTCTGGCTGTTATCTCCTGCCTCTGTTTCCCTGCCGGTAGCACCATACCTTTTTCTGGGAGGGGCTGGATGGCTCCCACGTACTGGTCCACTTTCCACCTGGCGACTCCTATGGGATGCAGGGCAGCGTGGACGAGGTGAGTGGATACTTAGTGGTGGGGGTGAGGGCAGGCTGGAGAGGGCTTTCCTGTCCTGGGCTGACCCACACTGACCTGTCCCTGCCTGTCCAGGTGCTGAAGACTGTGGCCAACAACCGGGACAAAGGGAGGACTAACCACAGTGCCTTCCTCTTCGGCTTCGGGGATGGGGGCGGTGGCCCCACCCAGACCATGCTGGACCGCTTGACGCGGCTGGGCAATACCGATGGGCTGCCCAGGTCAGGCCGGGCCTCTGGCAGCCCTCAGCTCTCCTTTCGCCCACCCTCAGCCTTGCTGTGAGCCCTGCCTTCTACCCATACAGTGGCCCAAGCCTGCCACTGGGCCTTGTCCTGCTCCAATCCTGGATCACTGGCTCCTCCAAACTCCCACCTTGGGGGTGGGCTGGGGGAAAAGCTGAGGGTGGGACGAGGAAGAAGCTTGAATCCACTGGAGAAAGCAGCTTTCCTGGGGTGTCGGGCTGGCGTTGTGTGGATGTGGAGCTTTCTGGAGTAGCTCTTCTCTGTTGGGACTGATCTGGTGTCCGCTCTGGCTTGGAAGGGTAAACCATGTGGCTCCCATGGCTGGGAGGCCCAAGCTTGTGGTTTCCCTCAGGGTGCAACTGTCTTCTCCGAAGCAACTCTTCTCAGCACTGGAGAGTGACTCTGGGCAGCTGTGCACGTGGGTCGGGGAGCTCTTCCTGGAGCTGCACAATGGCACCTACACCACCCATGCCCAGGTCAGGGGCAGGTTGTAGAGTCAAGCAGGGAATGTGTGCCCTTGATCTGCAGAGGGTCAGAGAAGGAAGCAGGGGAGATAAAGAAAGAGAAGTTTGGGCTGAGGGGAGAGAGGGAGGTCATTAGAGTCAGGTCACCTGGAAAAGGCCTTATCCAGGAGGTCCTGGGGAGCCATCAGGCGTTCTGAGCAAGGGGGGCTTTGGAAGGCATCTGGCACGTTTAAGCAGACTCCAGACTGATCTTCCCCCCTGGGCTCAGATCAAGAAGGGGAACCGGGAGTGTGAGCGGATCCTGCATGACGTGGAGCTGCTCAGTAGCCTGGCCCTGGCCCGCAGCGCCCAGTTCCTGTACCCAGCAGCCCGGCTGCAGCACCTCTGGAGGTCAGCCTGGCTTCTGCCCCTTGCCGCCCACCTGAACTCTCACCCCAGACACTTCTGTGGCTGTCCTTCATGGCCTTCCCCATCCCTTCCCTTGGTCCCTGCAGGCTCCTGCTTCTGAACCAGTTCCATGATGTGGTGACTGGAAGCTGCATCCAGCTGGTGGCAGAGGATGCCATGTGCCACTATGCAGGTGAGGCTGACAACAGTGGCACCATTCTCTCCAACCCCTGGACTGAGCCCAGAGTATCCCCTGTGCAACACTCAGGGGTCATCTGAGACCCATTGCCCACCCATGACCAGCTAATCTCCCCTCAGACATTCGTTCCCATGGCAACACACTGCTCAGCACAGCAGCTGCGGCCCTGTGTGCCGGGGAACCAGGTCCCGAGGGCCTCCTCGTTGTCAACACGCTGCCCTGGAAGCGCACTGAAGTGCTGGCCCTGCCCAAGCCCGGCGGGGCCCACAGCCTAGGTATGAGCTGAGGGAAGGGCTACTACTACCTCAGGAGGGATTGAGGCCAGATAGACAAGGTCAGGGACACCCCTGGGGATCTCTGCCTTGGGGTGCCCCAGGCTGGAGTATAGTGGCCACATCCTCCATCACCCTCACCCTGACCTGAGTGAGGTTCCAGAAAGGTCAGGAGGCTGCATTGATTGATGCCTAGACCTCACCCCCAGCCCTGGTGACAGTGCCCAGCATGGGCTATGCTCCTGTTCCTGCCCCTACCTCGCTGCAGCCCCTGCTGCCCCAGCAGCCTGTGTTCGTAGTGCAAGAGGTGAGTCCCAGCAGGTCCTGAGGGGCAAGAGCTGTCCCGGGGTGCTCCTAAAAGCTGGGGGTCCTGAGCTCCTACCTGGAGCAATGTGGGGGTGGGGAGGGGATGGCAGGGAGTGGTTGTAGGAGGCTCCTGCAGACTCAGCCTCGCGGCCCCTTTCACCAAGACTGACGGTTCTGTGACTCTGGACAATGGCATCATCCGAGTGAGGCTGGACCCGACTGGCCGCCTGACATCCTTGGTCCTGGTGGCCTCTGGCAGGTGCCAACTCCTCACTGTCCTTTCCCAGTGCCTAGCAAGTGGCTCCCAGATCCCGTTTGCTCTGTCTCGTGGCCACAACACTGCCCACAGCAGCCCACAGTGGCTCTGGGCTGGGACCCAAACATAGAACAAGGCAGGGTGGGCAAGGGGTCCTTGTCCCCTGGGTCTGTTCACTCTGTCCCATCCCACTAAGCGCAGCTGGAGAGAGCGCAGCTTTATAGTTGTAAAGCACCAATCCCCATGTCCTTCCAGGGAGGCCATTGCTGAAGGTGCTGTGGGGAACCAGTTTGTGCTGTTTGATGATGTGCCCTTGTACTGGGATGCCTGGGACGTCATGGACTACCACCTAGAGACACGGTATGGGCAGGGTGGGACTTGGGGGTGACGAGGCGGTGGGAACACAAGCCCCCCTGGCTCAGTGCCTCCCACCCCCATCCCATAGGAAGCCCGTGCTGGGCCAGGCAGGGACCCTGGCAGTGGGCACTGAGGGCGGCCTGCGGGGCAGTGCCTGGTTCCTGCTGCAGATCACCCCCAACAGTCGGCTCAGCCAGGAGGTGGTGCTAGATGTTGGCTGCCCCTATGTCCGCTTCCATACTGAGGTAGCAGGGGCGGGGTGGTGGCAGTTATCTTCCCCGGGGGCACCTGGTGAGAAGGTGCCAGCCCCAGGCCTGTGTGTATCTCTCCCTTCCCTCACCCCCACCTTCCATCCCAACCCCAGGTGCACTGGCATGAGGCCCACAAGTTCCTGAAGGTGGAGTTCCCTGCCCGTGTGCGTTGTTCCCAGGCCACCTATGAGGTCCAGTTTGGGCACCTGCAGCGGCCCACCCACTACAACACCTCCTGGGACTGGGCTCGATTTGAGGTCTGACATTGCGGGGGGCGGGGGTGCTGGACTCCTCCCTGGCTGGGGAGAGACTAGTTGTGTGGTGTGGGGTGGGAAGCAGGAAGATGATCAACATTGCTGCTTCCTAACGTGTGCCAGGCGTTGTGCTAAATGCTTTCCACTTAGTTTGATACTTACGACCATTTGGTGGGTAAGTGCTATTATTTATCCCAATTTCACAGATGAGGAAACTGAGGCTTAGGCAGGTTGGTTGGCATGCCCAAGGCCTCCTAGAGTGGGAGCTGGAATTCAATCTTGTGGTTCGAGAGCTTTTTCTCACCCTAGTGACAGGAGCTGTGGAATTTGGGAGCACAAGGAAGGGCATGGGGCCATCAAGTGGGTCTCGGATCTGCCCTGCAGGTGTGGGCCCACCGCTGGATGGATCTGTCAGAGCATGGCTTTGGGCTGGCCCTGCTCAACGACTGCAAGTATGGCGCGTCAGTGCGAGGCAGCGTCCTCAGCCTGTCACTGTGAGTGGGTACCCAGCAGGCCCGGGAGCTGGTGTAGGGGTGTGGGTTTTCCTGGGGTGGAACTCCAGCAGCTTCAGCCCGGTCCATACCCACCCTCCTCACCTCAGCTTGCGGGCGCCTAAGGCCCCCGATGCCACTGCTGACATGGGACGCCATGAGTTCACCTATGCACTGATGCCACACAAGGGTGAGTGCTGGAGATGGTGGGGCCCTCCTGAAGCCCTAGACACCTCTGCCCTTTTCTGAGCACAAACCCCAGCAACCTGGCCCACCCTCTGCCCCTGTAGGGGCTTGGGAGGGTAGCCCCCATTCTCCATCAGCGTTGCTTTCTGGTTGTACCCCAGGCTCCTTTCAGGATGCTGGAGTTATCCGTGCTGCCTACAGCCTCAACTTCCCCCTGTTGGCGCTGCCAGTCCCGGGCCCAGCGCCGGCCACCTCCTGGAGTGCCTTTTCCTTGTCCTCTCCTGCTGTTGTGTTGGAGACTGTCAAGCAGGCAAGGGGCGGGGCGGGCTGGGGGCGGGTTCCGAGACGAGCCCGCCCCTAGCCCCGCCCACCGCCCGCCTCCCTCCCCAGGCGGAGACCAGCCCAGAGAGTCAGAGCCGCGCCCTAGTGCTGAGGCTGTATGAGGCCCACGGCAGCCACGTGGACTGCTGGCTGCACACCTCGCTGCCTATTCAGGAGGCCATCCTGTGAGTCGCGGCGCGGGCTTGGGCGGGAGTAGGAGTCCCGTCCTCACAGAGCCCTCACAGCCCCTCCTGTTCTCCAGCTGTGACCTCCTGGAACGGCGAAATCCTGCTGGCCACGTGCCCCTTCAGGACAACCGCCTGAAGCTCACCTTTTCTCCCTTCCAAGTGCAGTCCCTGTTGCTCGTGCTTCAGCCTCCACCAAACTGAGTCCCTAGGAGTGGGATTTTGTTTGAAGGCTTTGGGGACTCCTCGTTGCTGCCTCCCCGATGAGTCACGTCTTGCATAATAAACCCTTGGATCAGGAGCCATCCTGGTAGCCCTGCTCACTCCCCGTAGAGCCATCCTCAAGCTTGGGGTGGGGGTAGATCTTGGGCACCTGTGTGTGCAAGGTCTGGGGTGCAGCTACCATGAGAGATTGGGGACCTCAGGTGACCAAAAGCTGGCTCGGAGACCATGAGATAACAAGTTCCTCCCCTGTGTGGGGCTGGAGAGGAGGCTGGGTTCTGTCTGGATGGGGGAGCAGCCACAGGCCCTAAGAATCCTGAACTGGAAGAGCTTAGGATTCTGGGCTGCCTGGCCAGGGTCTCAGTACCACCTCTCTAAGGGGCTGTCCCTGCAGAGGCAGACTGTCCTCTGATAGCCAGAGCCTTGAGGTCTGGGATGGGGCTCAGTTTGCCTTGCTGAGAAAGTAGGCCTCCTGTTGCCAGAGCCAGGCAGCAGACCCTTCCACCTTGGCCACCTCAGACCTTGTGCAGCCAACCCAAGAGGTGCCAGTATATTTAAATTTATTAGTTTATGAAAAATACAGCATTTTTCACGTGGGCTTTAAAAATATGGAAGGTTGGGGCCAGGCACAGTGGCTCATGCCTATAATCCTAGCACTCTTGGATGCCGAGGCGGGCGGATTGCTCGAGGTCAAGAGTTCAAAACCAGCCTGAGCAAGAGCGAGACCCTGTCTCTACTATAAATAGAAAGAAATTAATTGGCCAACTAATATAGATATAAAATTAGCCGGGCATAGTGGCACATGCCTGTAGTCTCAGCTACTCAGGAGACTGAGGCAGGAGGATCGCTTGAGCCGAGATTGAGGTTGCTGTGAGCTAGGCTGACACCACTGCACTCACCGTAGCCTGGGCAACAAAGTGAGACTCTGTCTCAAAAAAAAATATATGGAAGGTTGGGTACAATTAAAAACATCCCAGTTGTTCAGGGAATAGCCACTGGGCCTGAGGCATACGGCCCCCTTGAGAATGCCGCCTGCTTCTAGAAATTCAGACAGGCCCCAGGGTCGGGGCCAGACTTGGGAAAGGCTAGGTGTAAGCAAGGAGACCCTCCTGCTAAGAGGCTGAGGTCCCCTCCAGTTCCAAGGATGGAGCGTCAGCCTTAATCTTCCAGGGGCTGCAGTGGCCTGGGCAGAAGCAGAAAGCAGGTGCGAAGGTTAGCTCGAACTTGCAGGCCGGGGCTCCCTCCCACCTTTGTCCTTTGTCCTGCACTGCCATCCCATCCTCTCATGAAAGGCCAGGGGCTGTGGTGGCCCTCCCCTCCCCAGAGGCGGGTGCTGAGGAAAGCCCATCAGGGGTGGCCTGTCTCCCCTTTCTCAGGGACTGTGGGAACTTCTGGGTCCTGGTGGACGATGGTCCCCTGGGGCTGCTGGGTTGCAGTCTTCTCAGGGAGGTCTCTCCATGCCCTTCGTGTCCTGGAAGGGGCCTTGTTTGGAGGTGGAAGGTTCTGCGTGGAGGGGACACAGGTCTCTGAGGGCTACAGCGGTGCTAGGCTGACTAGGCCCCCTGCCCCCGCCCCTTCCCAGGGGCAGCAGGGCAGGAGAGAGCTGCATGGGAGCAGGCCATACCTCCACTCTGTCCTCAGGACTCAGCCGTGTTGCCTTGGATTTCTTTTTGCGGGACTTGCGCCCTGCAGGACATGGGTGCTATGGTTGGAGGGCCCTATGGCCCCAGCCTCTTTCTCCAGACTCCCACTCTGCCTGGGGGTGCTCGAGCCCTTGCAGACAAGAAGTCCTTTCTGTTCTCTTAGCCTATTACATTAGGAGGAGCTTACCTTTGGGTGCCAGGGGTCCAGGATCCCCCTAAAATCAAACGAGGACAGTCAAGAATCACCCTGGTTGGGGCAGGGGTGGTGTTCCTTGGAGAGGCAGGATGCAAACACACATCCTTCCAAACCAGCATAACCCCACCCAGGAAGCCTGTCCGCTTGGTTCTTAGCACCACTCCCTGGAGGGCACAGCCGAGGTGCATGAGACCCATCCCCACCCTCCATAAGATGGGGGAAGAGGCTGAAAGAATCTGTTTCTAGGGTACAAGGGGAAGGAAACTGGGACCTTATCCAATGTCAAGAGTCAACAAAGCTGCCCTGCCTGTGGGTTGCTCTACTAGCTGGGATCCTGGGACTCAAAGGATCAGAGGGGCATAGCATGGGGAGGACTTACACCCTCAGGAGCATGTGACCCTTGGGAGGCCTACACAGGCCCTGGGCATCTCCACTTGGAGAAGACCCTAGCTTCTGCCCTGCTGCAACCGCAGGTCTCCACCCCACCAGTTCCCCTGGGGTCTCCATTGGCCTGTGAGCAGTGGGGCCCAAACCTGGAACCAGATGGTGCGGCCATGCCGGTCCCGCAGGGAGCTCATGCCTGGCACGCCATAGCACCGCAGCCAGGCTCGGAAGGCAGCAAAGTCCTCCTCCCCACTCTCCGGCCCATAACCTTTGCCCCCTGTGGGACAGAGGAACGGGTGGAATCAGGGCAGATGCAGGGAGGAGTGGGGAGCCTGTGTTAGATCTGACTTAGGCCTCAGCCACACAAGCCGATGGACTGAGTCGGGCCACACTCTCCCTCCTCCAGCTGTGACCTTGGCTGTTGCCTTCCCCCTCTGGGCCATGACTTCCCCATCCTGGACTGGTTTTAAGAATACTGAGTGTCTCATGAGCAGCTTGCAGAAAACAGACACTTGACAAGTCCATCCGCCAGTTGGGGAGTCAGACCCAGAGAGGGACAACGACCGCCCTGGGGTTACACAATATGCTGAAGCAGAAGCTGTTGCCACCTTTGCCTCCCCAGGCCTCACCCAGTTGGACCACTTCCTTGGGCACTGAGTGGCACAGCTCCAGCAGGTCCGGGTTCTGCAGCTTGGCCTTGATCTTCTGGCTCAGGGTCAGCTCCGGGCTCTGAGGAAGGGCAAGGGTGGGACCTTGCCGTCAGCACAGAGCAGGGCCACTCAGAAGGCACATCTCCCCTCTGAGCTTGGCAGGGCCTCAGGCCATCCATCCTGCCCATCACCTTCCATTGTGGAGCTAAGTTGGAGACCCTTGGCTCAACCCAGCCCCTTGCCAGCCCATGTGCGCCACCCTCTCTGTACCCTCACCAGCCTGCGCCGCTGCAGGGCCTCCAGAACCGTTCGGGCCTTCTCGAAGGGGGGGATCCTCAGCCTGGCATGGAGTGGGGACAGGGAGCCTTGCTAAGCAGTGGGGAAGGTGGGTACACCCAGTCCACCCCTGCCCTCGTGCCCACCGCCTGCCTGCTGACCGGAACAGGATCTCTGCTCGCAGATAGTTGCCAATGCCATTGAAGAACCTCTGGTCCAGGAGGGCCTCACAGATGGGTCGGTCAAAGGCTTTGTCCGCTAGGTTTCGTAGCACATTTTCCCTGGAAGGACACAGCCTGGGTGCGTGAGACTCATCCCTGCCCTCCATGAAATGGAGGAGAAGGGCTGAGAGGACTTGTTTCTGGGTGCAAGGGGAAGAAAACTGGGAGTCCCAGTTACCCCTCTGTTTGCCTCAGTTTTCCTCTCTGTTAAGTGAGAATAATATGGGATTTAAATTCATTGTGAAAGGTGAAAAATAATGATCAAAACCAATGTGTTGGCCGGGCGCGGTGGCTCACGCCTGTAATCCTAGCACTCTGGGAGGCCGAGGCGGGCGGATGGCTGGAAATAGAAAGATTGTAATCAGACTGAGCAAGACTCTGTCTCTACTAAAAATAGAAAGAAATTAATTGGCCAACTAATATATATAATATAAAAATCAGCTGGGCATGGTGGCTCGTGCCTGTAGTCCCAGCTACTCGGGAGGCTGAGGCAGGAGGATTGCTTGAGCCCAGGAGTTTGAGGTTGCTGTGAGCTAGGCTGATGCCATGGCACTCACTCTAGCCTAGGCAAGAAAGCGAGACTCTGTCTCAAAAAAAAAAAAAAAAAAAACCAATGTGTTCAAGGGAACACACATGAGTCTGTATGTGTGGTTGTGTATTTATCACCAAAGTGCCTCAGACTCCTTAGGAAACTTGAGAACAAGGTGATCACAGGACGGCAGGTGTGTCTGCAGTCTGGAGCTCCTTGTCTAGGACTTGTGGTGAGTTAGTGACCACATGTGGATTTGTTTTTCTTTTTTATTTTGGGAAAGGGTCTCACTCTGTTATCTGGGCTAGAGTACAGTGGTGTCATCATAGTTCACAGCAACCTCAAACTTCTGGCCTCAAGCGATCCTCCTGCCTCAGCCTCCAAAATGCTAGGATTACAGTGTGAGCCACCATGTCTGACCCACATGTGGATTTGACATCGGAGGGGTCCACTCTCCTCAAGACCCTAAAGACTGGTTCTGTGCAGCTGCTGTGTAGTTGAGAGTGCCCCAGCAGCCCCCACCCCACCTCAAGGGTCATGGGTCTCAGCTCACCCGCATGAAGAGGAAATGCATCTCATTTCTTTATGGAAAGGGTCTTGGCAAGAGTGACTGAGTGCTGGGTGTGAGGAGGGGGCCAGGAGTCAAGTTCTGGGGTGCAGGTGCGAGTGGAAGGCTAGCTTGGGTGGTGCTCTGGTCCCTGAGGGGAACAGATCACCACACGCCCTGCTGCAGGAACAAGGACACAGCCAAAGTGCTCGTTGCATGAGAGAAGCTGCAGAGCCAGCTGGCAGAGCTAGCCTGTGGCCTGACCCTGAGAAGGATGAAGTGGGAGGACTCAAGACCGCGGACAGAGGCTCCCGGGGGAAGCACTCAGGCTCAGGCCTGGGAAGGCCAGGAGTCAACTGCCTTCTGTGGCATCAGAGACGCCCTTGACCTACCTCACGGGCAACCAAGTCTCCAAAGGACCAACTGGAGAGGCACGATGTCCCCCAGGAAGTGGGAACTTGCCAAGTGCAGTCCAGGCCTTTGCACCTGTGATTCTTGCCAGTTGGGAGGCCTTGGCTACAGCTCGCCTGGCGGGCTCCCTGGGGACAGTCAGTCAGGCCGCAGTGGCACCTCCCCTGCGCCCCCTCCCCCGCCAGGCCAAAAGTCATTCTCTGCTTCCTCAGGCTTGTGTCTGTTTGAATTCCTCTTGTTTGTTTCTGTGCTCCCCCTGCCTTGTCTGAGCATTGGCTCTGCAGGAGCAGGGACCACGTTAGTTCACTGTTGTACCCCAGCACTAGAGCAAGGCCTGGCACGAGCTGAGACTCATACACGGTTCCTCTTCAGAGGAAAGGAAGTGGCTAACAATGTGGCATTCTAGGTGACCTGCATCACATCCAGGTGGGGCTGTTATACCCTCCTGCAGGCAGAGAACAGTCACAGAGACCACAGGACACAGACTAGTGGGCAGGCAGCACATGCAAGACCACAAAAAAATCCGGTCATTAGGCAGTCCCCTCCCTACCCCCTTGAAACAATTCCTGCTCACCCGTTTTTTTCTTTTCTTCTTTTTGAGACAGGGTCTTGCTCCAGGCTAGAGTGCTGTGGCATCATCACAGCTCACAGCAACCTCAAACACGTGGGCTCAAGCGATCCTCCTGCCTCAGCCTCCTGAGTAGCTGGGACTACAGGTGCATGCCACCATGCCCAGCTAATCTTTTTTTATTATTATTTTAGGTAAAGACGGGGTCTTACTCTTTCCTCAGGCTGGTATCGAACTTCTGACCTCAAACAATCCTCCTGTCTCAGCCTCTCAAAATGCTGGTGTACTGGTCCAGGCCCAGCCTTATTTCTTAGTGTGTTAAAACTCCTCCACCTTTCTTAGCCTCCTGGCTCCTCATCTGTCCTCCCACATCAGTTCTGAATTTCCACGTCTGTTAGCTCAGGGAGCTGACCCAGGGCAGGGACACTGTCTTGGTCTATGGACCAGGGGACTGAGGCCCAGAGGGGGCTGGGACTCACACCTTGTTGGCTAATAAGGCACTAACAGAGCCAGGCCCGGAGCCCAGGACTGTGTTTATCCCACCGGGTGCTGGCCCTACCTGAACTGCTCGTACTCCAGCAAGACACAGGGCCCTCGGCCCGGCTGCCACTTGCCCCCGATGTCCCAGTGGCCGAATCGGCGGATGTCCACAAAGCACAGGGCAAGCCGGGGGCCAGGTGGCGCTGTATAAAAGCGAAGATGGGCATGGGGTGGCAGCGCATCCCCGGGCACCAACTGGAAGGAGCCAGACATGCCAAAGCGGAAGACGAGGGCCAGCGGCTCCTGTGGGGGCTGGGCCCCAGGCAGAGGGCTCAGGCTCAGGCGCAGCTCCTTGCCACGGGCTGAGGCCGAGATGCAGTAGGCACTGCTCTCAAAGGGCACCTCCGGGTTGCGGCTGATGGAAGACTTCTCTACACACCCGCCAAACACCAGCCCCCGGCATGCCTCATTCACAAAGTGGCTGGCCAGGTGCAGCTCGGGGCCCTCAGGCATTCTGTAAGAGGGGTGGGCGACAGTGTCCTGTGGGGGCAAGAGGACAGCAGGTTGAGCCAGGTGTGCCCCTTGTGACGTAGGAATTGTCACTCCCATTTTACAGAGGAGAACTCAGGATCAGAGGGCGATATGGCCAGCTGGACTAGCAGGGAAGTTCTGGCCCAGCCACAGTCCCTGTCTTGCACCTCTGTCCGCTTCCACAAGTGCTGGGACAGCGCAGACACTGGGAGCGCAGGCTGGGGAGGGAACAGGCCTCTGTCCTGCTCATTAATACCTTCCTTCCACCGGCTGCCACTGGTGGTTTTAAAGTCCAAACCTTTGCTGGGCCCAGGCTGCTGTCACTCCCTTGCTCCTTCTGTCTTTGCCCCCCCATCTCCCTATCTGGGGGAGCCCCCCTCCCACACACGTTATCTTGTCTTTTCTTCCCGGGACTCCCACAGTCTGAAAGGCTCTTTCTGTCCGAGGGCTGCCCCTACCTGTGCTCCCACAGGAGTTCCCAGTGTGAGCTCTGCTCGCTCATCACCCACCGCTTAGACGCGCCTGCATCTGCCCACGCACAGATCAAAGTGATGAATCTGCCACCCCCGCTGGCTGCGCTGGGGTCAGGGTAGGAGCCAGGACCAGGCTAAGGGAGTGCCACACGTGCGCCAGCGCCAGGAAGGGGGCAGGGCGCCAGGAAGGGCTCTCCTGCTCCAAGCCCTGGTCGCAGGGAGTCGGAAAAGCACACCTGAGCCCTTCGGTCCCCTAGGAGCCGTGCGCATGTCCTCGCCTTCGCCCTCCCGCTTTGCCTCTTTCCTCTGCCCCCGGACGGTTCAGGATCGAAGGCGAAGGTGTGCGTAGGGTAGAGGGGGGCATTTAGCTACGGCAGACGCCTTTACCTCGCCCTCCGCCCGCTCAGCGCCGCCCGGACCAGGGTCCCGAAATAGATTTGCAGGAAAAGGTGAACCTCCAGATTCCTAGTTTTGCGAGGGGCGGCACTCTATGCCCGCCGTGTCCACAACTGGGACTCTGATCTCGGTTAACTCTGGATCCCTTCCTCCCCAGGGCCCCCGCATCCCATCGTCTTCAGCCCCGCTGCGCCCGCCGCCCGAGTCCCCTGTTTCCACCCGCCTCCCCACCTCGCCCCCGCCGGGTGGACCTGCGCCCAGCAGGCTCGCCGCCAGGCTGCAAGCACTAAAGGGTTAATGCCAGGGGCGGGCCGCGCGTAAGAGCATGCTGGGAATGTGGGCTCCGCTGCCGCGCCTGCTGGGAATTGTAGTTTTTCAGGGAGGCGGCAGAGACTGTTGGAATGGAGAACAGGAGCTGGGGGGCCCCGGGGTGTGGGCAGGCTTTGGGGCAGTCACCTGGCCGGGAGGCGGCGGAGGAACCTGTCTTCTCACAGACAGGCGCCGGCGGAATCTGGGTCAGGTCTGAGGCCCCAGGTCGAGCTGTCTCTGTGGTTGGGGGAAGTCAACTGCAGCAATGTCCCGTGTAGTGGGGCCTGCAGCTGTGCGCAGGGCTTGCACAGGTGTGCGATAAACACAGGCCCTGGGGACCCAGTGGTGACCCTAAGCATCAACCCACAGGCTTAGCGAGTAAACATAAACATAACTGCCTGCGAGTGGGAAGTGCAACCAAGCAACAAAAACAGGAGCCGAGAAGTAGAATCCAATTCAGTAGTTGTGTGGTGGTCTGCCTCTCTGCAGTGACCTTGAGGCTCATAAGTCAGCAGCCAGCTGCAAAAGGCCAGGACCAGGCAGTATGGAAGTCACCGCCAGTGCAGAAGCCCCCAGTGAGAAAGAGATTGGCCCGTTGAGAGGTAGTGTCAGGAGGTGAGGACAGAGAGGTAAGCATGTCGAGATCGGTTCCGGTGGGGCCCCGGGAGACCTCTGTCAGAGTTTGCATGTTATTCTAAGTGTGCGCCTGAGCCATAGCCATGTTTCTCCCCTCCTTCATACTGCTTCTGCTCCTCGAGTCATCTGGTTATTCATTTATTTTAGCAGAAGCATTTTAAAGCGAGTTATAAATATCATGACATTTCATCACCAATACTTTAGCATGCATTTCTAAACAATAGTTTCTAGGTCAGAAGCAGTGGTTCATGCCTGTAATCCTAGCACTTTGGGAGGCTCAGGTAGGAGTATCGCTTGAGGCCAGGAGTTCAAGACCAGCCTGGGCTACACAGTGAGACCCTGTCTCTAAAAAAATAGAAAAATATTAGCCAGTTCCAGCTGCTCAGGAGGCTGTGGTGAGAGGATCACTTAGGGGCCATGAGTTCGAGTCTGCATTGGACTAAGATGATGCCACTGCACTCCTGGCTGGGCAACAGAGTGAGACCCTGTCTCTAAAAAATAAATAAATAAAAATAAAACCCAATTTCCTGCAAAGCCTCCGTACCTTTATCATACCTAATAAAGTTAACGATAACTTCTTAATGTCACCAAATAGCTAGTCCATAATCTCATTTCCCCAATTGTCTCCAGAAGGTCTTTATAGCTTTTTTTTTTAAACACAAATTCCAACCAAGGATTATATGTCTCTTTAATAATTTTTAATCTATATGGAATCACGTCATTCCATCCACCACCACCCCTCTTTTTTGGAGACCAGGGCCTCACTCTGTTATCTGGGCTAGAATACAGATGTGTCCTCATAGCTCACAGCAACCTTAAATTCCTAGGCTCCAGCAATCTTCCTGCCTCAGCCTCCTAAGGTTAGGACTATAGACGCCCATCCCATCCCACTCCTTTGTTGAGAGGGGGGTGGTCATCATGATACTGACCTTTCTGAAGAGTCCAAGGCCGTTGTCCTTTAGACAGATACTCCATCACATACTAGATTTGTTTGAATGTTTCCTCAGTGTATCATTAACTTGTTCCTCTATCGGTAGTTTTTCCTGCACGCTGCCAATTAGATTTAAAGCCCTGATTATATATAGAGAGGGACACCTCCAGGGTGCTGCTCTATACTTTGTTTTTTTTTTTTTCTTTTCGTTTGAGACAGAGTCTCACTTTGTTGCCCAGGCTACAGTGAGTGCTGGGCGTCAGCCTAGCTCACAGCAACCTCAAACTCCTGGGCTCAAGCAATCCTCCTGCCTCAGCCTCCCAAGTAGCTGGGACTACAGGCATGTGCCACCATGCCTGGCTAATTTTTTCTATATATATTAGTTGGCCAATTAATTTCTTTCTATTTATAGTAGAGATGGGGTCTCGCTCTTGCTCAAGCTGGTTTCGAACTCCTGACCTCGAGCAATCCGCCCGCCTCAGCCTCCCAGAGTGCTAGGATTACAGGCGTGAGCCACTGCACCCGGCCTTTTCTTTTTTTTTATTTCAGCATATTATGGGGGTACAAATGTTAAGATTACGTATATTTCCCATGGCCCCCCTCACCCCTCGAGTCAGAGCTTCAAGCGTGACCACCCGCAAATGTTGCACATCTCACTCATTATGTTTGTATATACCCATCCCCTCCTCCCCCTCCCATCCTCCCAACACCCAATAAATGTTACTCCTATATGTCCACTTAGGTGTTGATCTGTTAATACCAATTTGCTGGTGAGTACATGTGGTGCTGGGTTTTCCATTCTTGAGATACTTCACTTAGTAGAATGGGTTCCAGCTCTATCCAGGATAATACAAGAGCTGCTATATCATCATTGTTTCTTAAAGCTGAATAGTACACCATGGTATACATATACCACATTTTATTAATCTATTCATGTATTGATGGACACCTAGGTTGTTTCCACACCTTTGTGATTGTGAATTGGGCTGCTATAAACATTTGAGTATAGGTGTCTTTTTCATAAAGTGACTTTTAATCTTTTGAGTAGATGCCCAGTAGTGGGATTGCTGGATCAAATGGTAGATCTGCTTATATCGCTTTAAGGTATCTCCATATTGCTTTCCACATAGGTTGAACTAGTTTGCAGCCCTACCAGCAGTGTAGGAGTGTTCCTATCTTTCCACATCCTCGCCAACATTTATTGTTTGGAGGCTTTTTGATAAAGGCCATTCTGACTGGAGATAGGTGATATCTCATTGCAGTTTTGATTTGCATTTCCCTGATGATTACAGATGTTGAGCATTTTTTCATATGTTTGTTGGCCATTATTCTGTCTTCTTTTGAAAAATTTCTGTTCATGTCCTTTGCCCATTTTTTGATAGGATTGTTTGGTTTTTCCTTGCTGATTTTCCTGAGCTCTGAATAAATTCTAGTTATCAGCCCTTTATCAGTTGTGTAGCTTGCAAAAATTTTCTCCCATTCTGCAGGTTGTCTGTTTGCTCTCTTGACAGGTCTCTCCACCTGCTGGGGCGCCCACCAGCAGTCCGAGATGCAAGGGCGGGGAGAGTTAACTGCGCCACCTACCCTTGCCGCTGGTCTCCAGGCTGCTCCGGAGGTCTCTGCTTCCAGTTCTCCTCCGCAACCTCTTCCTGTGGAGTCTCCCGTGGTCTCAGTTACCCCTCCTTCCGACCCTTCTCCGATGTATGCTCATCTTCTTGCTTCTTTCTTCTAATTTCCCCTAGAATCTGTCTTTTCTGCAGAGACGCTCTGTCAGGTGGTGCTTCTCGTCCGCCATCTTGCTCCGCCCTCTGCTCTGTACTTTGAATTGCAGCACATGAGGAGGTACCCAACAGCCAGTTGTCCCACTTTAATGTGGCTGAAATTGATCAAGGTTGTGGCGATGACAGCCAGGCCTCTGCATTGTAAAAGATATGTTTCACATCTTGTGACCAGTAAGTAATCTAGGGGGTAATTTCTTTCTTTTGCTGTTCTCTTTTTGTTTAAATTATGGTGTAATTTAAATACAGTAAAATTCACCTTTTAGAGGACAAGTTTTGACAAACATACAGTCATGTAACTGCAGCCACAGTCAAGAGAGAATGCATGTTGCAGAATTATTCACAAGAGTCAAGGTGTAGAAACAACCTAAATGTCCATCCACAGATAAATGGATTTTTTTAAATGTAGTGTACAATGGAATATTATTCAACCTAAGAAAGGAAATCCTGCTACATGCAACTGCATGGATAACTTTGAGGACGTTATACCAAATGAAATTAGTCAGTCACAGAAGGACAAATACTGCATGATTCCACTTATATGAAATAGTGAAAACAGTCAAACACACAGAAGCAGTCAGTAGAATGGTGATTGTCAGGAGCCAAGGGGGGCCTGGGGGGAGGGAAGAGGAAATGGGCAGTTTCTATTCAACAGATACAAAGTTCAGTTATGCAAGATGAATAAGTTCTGCAAATCTGCAGTACAACACTGCACCTATGATTAACAACACTGTATTGTGATTTAAACATTTTTTAAGAGGGTAGTTCTCATGTTAAGTGTTCTTACCATAACAGTGAGAGGGAGAGAATACATTTCATCATCTCCCAAAATTTGCCGTTGCACCTTTGTAATCAACATCCCCCACCCATAGCCTTTTGAGTGTGGTTTCTTTCTCTTAACATAAAGCATTGTGATTCACCACTGTGATTAGATTTCTTTTTCAGTGAGTAGCATTCTATTGTTAGATGCATCAGTTTGTTAATTCATTTACCAGTTAAGGGACATTTGGGTTGTTTATGTGGGGTGATTCCTAGCATCACGAAAATATGCAGTTTCACGTCAACTTTTCACCCAAGAGTTTAAGCACCTTTGATGATCCTTGCCTCAAGCAAATGTTTAACCACTTCGTATGGTGCTCACTGGCTGCGAAACCTCGCCCACAGCCGGCACTCACAGTCTTCAAGGTAGTTTGTGCTGTGCATTGACGATGAATCCGGTTTGCTCTTGTGTGATGAGGAAAGCTTTAAAGCACTGAAAGCTTGTTTTACTTTACAGGCGGCTTTACTTGTAATGTAAGTATCACAATAGGTAATATATATATATATATATATATGTTTTTATTATGTCATTTTTAAATGTTCACAATTTTATTTTGATAAATGAAAAATTAGAAAAGTTAAATTCCAGGTCTAGTTTTTTTTAAAAAAAAAGAAAAATGAATGAAATTAAAATAAGATATAAGAAAGGTAAAAAAAAATTTAAATAAAAATAAATAAAAA